TGGGAAACTTTAGTCTTTGTTGACTAAACTGTCTCAACTGTTATCACTAGCAAAAGCCACTGCCTCAGGAGATGGGTGGGTGCCTATCACTTTTTTGAAAATAAAGCCTATGAAGTTATGAATGGATTTATTTTCAGTGACACAGGTTGGGTGTTGTTCAGTTAGCTCTTCTACAAGCTCTGTCTCTTTCTCCACAGCTGTACTTCGCATAGCGTTGGCTTGTGAACTTTTTTGTTTTCTTAGGCAAAGGATGGATCCTATTGAGAACTTTCAAGTTCTTGTGATCCATTTATTATCCCTGTTTATCGAGTGACCTGTAGCCACAACCACTCATGTTGCTTTCCATGGCTACAGATTTACATGGCTTGATTTTTTTAATTTGTTATTTTTACAGCTACTGTGTGTCTTGGGCCATGCATCACGATTAACTGATAATGCTTGTTCCTAGTATACATAAACACAGTGTATGTTTGTATATGATAATAGAGAACATCACATTTATATTCGGGGAAATGTTAAAAAGAAAGCAGTGTGGGATCTGGCTGGATCAGTGCACGTTACGTGGTTTGTCACATTCCCTTTGTGTGTAGAACCACCTGTGTGTAGGTCACATTAGGAAAGCATATCTGTTTGAAATAGTTGTGAGTTGGTGGCTTGCATTGTCTTTGCCACTGTGTGCTTTGGAGTAAATCCAAGGTTGCTTCCATGACCGGTGCTGCTGGTGGGCAGGTGATGCTGGCAGCCCTCACTGAAAAACTAAAGGGAGTGAGAAACCCCTTCTAGTGGTAAAGCTGGACCTAAAAGATGCATGCCCTAGGGCCTGGGGGAGATGCACAGCTGCTCGGTCTCATGTGCCTGCTGAGTGTATGGCTGGAACATGTCCCAGCCCCTTCAGCTGTGTTCCCAACCAGGATTACCATGGGGCTGGAATGCAACTGACCCTTGTGGCAGGATCATTGGTTTTGCCAGAGGAGGAGGATGTGGATTCAGGTATTGCCAAAGTGGCTTCTTCCTATCCCAAAATTGGAGTCATGCTGCTGGCCCCTTTCTCCACTGTACTGCTAGGCATGATATACTTACAAAGTTCTGGAGACCCTGTTCATGCTGGCTCAAGCAAAAGGTGAGTTTTGGGAACAAGGGCTGCCGAGTAAAGGTGGGTGGGAGCGAGTGCTTCGTGTTCCCAGTTCAGTGACAGTGAGCTGAGATGAAAGTGGGGACCTGGGCCTCTGTCATCTATACGCCACGGGAAGCTTTGCTCAGCCATACACAGGGGTGAAGCATGTGTTTGCCTGCAGGGATCAATAAGTTTCGTTTCTGCTATTATCCGACTCCTGGAGCCTGTGCTGAAGACTGTTTTGAGCCTGCACTAGGATTATTTGGCTAGCACCTGGGTTACTTGGCCAGCACCAAGTGCCAGTTCAGCTTGCAAAGCCTAGCAGAGTGTTGCTGTTGGGATTCAAACTTGTTTAGATTCAAAACAGTGATGTGTTGAGTACTTAAAAATCTTATTAGAGATTAGAGAAGGAGGGATTTGGCTTATGGGAGGATCTTGGACTTTTCATCCTCACTTCTCCCACTGGCTGCATTCAACTTCTGTCTATTGAAAGCTGAGTTTTGAAGCATGGGCAGGAAGGTGCTGGTAAGAGCCATTTCCAGGGCAGCTCTTGACTCCAGCAACGTGTTGGGTCAGTGCTGAGAGTTGTCAGCTTGCCTTTTATCTTCTGAGAGCATCCGCTGTTTTTACTGGTTGGGAGCATTTAAAACGTTTTGTTGCTGTTAGCAAAGATGATCTCCTATAGAAAGAAGTCATGTTGCTCAGGCGTGAAATACTAAATGCTAACTCAGGAGGCTTCAGGCATGCTGTAATTGCCTTGTAAACGTAGATGCCTGATGGTGAAAGGTCTTATCATTGCCATTCAGCCACTTATTTCTTGGAAGGAACGTGTCCTTCTTGGTAAGGGATGATTTAGTTGTTTTTTATTTGTGTATTTTTTTTCCTTCCATCCAGCAGATTCTTAATTAAAACAGAATTCCAGCCTGAGTAGTTCTTAGAAAACAAAGGAACATGATCTGCTGAGCATTAGCAGATTAGTAATTCCTATTAAAAATTTTCTCACTTTAATGCAGTTACCAAAGATCCAGCTGTGGTTTTGGCATTAATGGGTGATTATCAGTACTGAATTGGAAGCGCGTGGGACTGGTTGGATGTTTATAGCTTACCCTCAATTATACTTCAGTAGAAAATAGGCCATTTTGGATATTAACTCATGTATCTTAAAGCAGGACATATTCCCAAACCAGCCTCGGAAGGAGCCCTTCAGTGTTGTGTTATGTACAGTGGTGGGACCTGAATTGAAGTGTCACATTGGTAATCCCTTGTATTCAGTTTGCAGGTGGAAGCACTGCCCCGATTGTCTCAGTGGTATTTATTGAGATCACTTTATGGAATTGGCTTTTTATTACTATTATTTAGCATTTTAATATAGAAACGACAACGAGCACAAATCCTTTTGTCTTAACTGGATTTCATTGTTGTTTTATATTATTTGCAGCAGCCTAGAGAAGGACATACCATTTCTCATCTACAGGACATGCAAGAGTTTAAATACAGTAGATATCAGAGTAACAACTTGTGTTTAATTGCTTAAATTACTACAAGGGGCCTTTCCTTAGTAGGGCAGGCGTGTGCAGCATTTGTGCCTGTCACTAGGAAATGGCCTTTTCAGAAAACACTGTTCACATCAAGGAAGAAAATGACAGTCTGCATAACGTAGGTAATGTACATGAGTGATGGCTATTTGTGTCTAGGAAGGCTGTGTTCCTCTGTCCTTGTAATAAAGCTCAGGGCCTTGAGAAACAACGAGCTCTGGCGTGGGAGGAGGCCAGCAATTGCTGCTCTGTCTTTGCACAATACTGCAATGCTGTCTGGCCCCAGCATTGTTCTAATTTCTTCCAGCTCTTGCTAATAAGTCCAATTGAGGAAAAGTTTTTTTGGTTTTTTTTTTCTGTGCCCCCATGGAATACTGCCAACTTAATGCAGTGCCAGCCTGATGTTGCTATTGGTGTGGTGGCAGCAGGGGTTTGGATGCCTCCAGATGCCTTCTGAGGTCAGGGCCCCAGGGGTGGCTTCACAGGATGTGTCCTGCTGTCCCAGGAACAGCTGGTGAATCGTTTTCTTGGATGCTTTTGCAATGGTTTCTAATAAAAATCCCTTGGTTTTCTTGAATAAATGCTAGATCTTCCAAAAATCTCCAGCAAAGAAGTTTCAGTGCTTCTTTGAAGGATGCTGAGTTGGAAAAGTGTGGTTGAGCAGTTGTCAGTGCATTTATGGATGAATTCAAGGAGGATCTTGGGGGGGATGGTGTGCCTGATGGCCAGCAGGGCAGGGCCTGGTGTGGGAGCTGGGAGTGCCGCAGCCGGTGGGCAGGAGCTGTGCTGGTGTGCAGAAGCAGGACACGGTGGCAGTTGAGCTGGATTTTCCTGTCCTTCTGGGAGGGAGCACTGCAATACCCTCATGCCTGTCCAAACCAACTGGGACAATGAAAGCAGCAATCATCAGTGATGATGCGTCCACTCCCCTTTGCTGGAAAAGCCTCCGTGTCTCTTACCTTTGACGTTTCAGCTCACAGCTGTTTTTTATTCCTGTGCTCCCCTAGCCCCCACCACAAATGTAACTTCTTCCATTCTCGGCCTTGCAAACAAAGCCAGAGCACCAACCACCCCAGCAATGAACTCCTAAGATGGTGGAGGAGGGATGACTGTGAAATGGCGGCCGGGAGCTTGGCTGCGTGCCCTGCGCTGGAGGGATTTGGGATGAGGCTCCCGCTGCGCTCAGCTGCTGCCCTCTGCCCGCACCCTGGGAGAAGGCAGCTGCAGGCCTGCTGCAGGGAGGCCTCACAGGACTTAACAGCAGTTCTGAGCATCTGGGGCTGAGAGTGGAGATCCAACCTCCCCGTTGTGACCGGTCCCATCTGCACGTGGATGGGCATGTCAGCAGTAGCTGCCTGCAGCTGGTGGGTGCCTCTGAAGTGTGTGTTGATTTCTGCATATTGTTATGTAATTACATACATGCTTTTGTTTTCCTTTGGTATATTTTTAATCACGATGAGCAGAGTTTTCCATGTATCTTGTGTAAATGGAGGAAAAATTAAACATCTGCTTTCCCTCTGTGAAGTTTTTCCTGGCTCTTTATTCATGATGCTGTATTTGCAACATACTCTTAAATATAATGTAAGCATTTAGCAGCAGATAAGAGCTGACTTGGAATGAGAAGCTCCTTGTTCTAAGGATTTGTAGTCTCATTACAACACTGCTTTTTAGCTTGTGATGGTGAGATTTCTAATACTGCCTCACTGGCAAATATGTTATGATGAGTTTTCCGTTTTAATTGGATTTGAAAAGAGGAACAGAATATTTGTTGTGGGAGAGGTTGGACAAAAAGGTATTTTGAGTAACAAAGCCCCTCACCGCTTTGTTTTATTGAGGAGCTGTGTTTAACTGAATGTTTGGTATATTAACATGTTGATGTAAAGCATGTTAACGTAGGAGGAGATAGTCTGCTCTCCTTGTACTGGATAAAGCTCCTCTCTGCTGCTGAATTTACTCTTTTTGAAAAGAATGTCATGTTTTCCAACACATGATACAATGTGCACAGTGCTTGGTGCTTTCAGAAATTGGATTGTACCAGGATGTAGAGGAGAGAAGAGCGAGAGGACCAGTGCTGGTGGTGTTGCTCACGCTGCTCCTCATGCGGCACCCCTCATTGCTCTGGTTGACGAGCAGTGATTAGGAGCTGGTGCTGTCCTCTCTGCATTCAGCAGAGGTGAATGTGGAGTCCCCTGAAGTGAGTCTGCTTCAGTGCAACAAAGCAGAGCATATGTCAGAAGCCACGTGCCTCACACTTGCATTTAGGCTATCCCAAGCTTTGAAGCTTGGCTGCGGCTCAGTTTTACTTGTTGACAGTTCAGTTAAAATATAATCTCTTCTCTCTCTACCATTAGTCACTCAGCATCCGAAGAAGCCTCTGGCTCTGACTCTGCAAGCCAGTCTGAGAGCGAGCAGGGCAGCGAGCAGGGCAGCGAGTCTAACAGCAGCTCCGAGTCCTCTGAAAGTCAGTCTGAATCCGAAAGTGAATCAACGGGTTCGAAATCCCAGCAGACCCCTCCTGAAACCAAAGAAAAACCAGCCTCTAAGAAGGAAAGGATAGCAGATGTTAAAAAGGTATTGCCCCCTGCTGCTCTGCAGAGCTGTTACCCTGCACCCACCGTGGACGGGCAGAACACAGGGCATGAACCTACCTGTCTTTCACTTCCCTGCCGCTTGGCAGCCTGAGTTGCACGTCAACCAAGCAAGCTCCCTCCTCTGGTGTCCCCAAGCCCCTTGCTGGCCATTTGGTTTGTGTACGTATGGCCCTGTGTCATTGGTGTGAGCAGGATCTTGTGTGTTCGATGTGACAGCCCTTTGGGCACTAGGCAGGTAATGGAGGAGGAGAAGGAGCCTGTCTTCAGTAAATGACGCTGTCATCTCATCCTCTCCCTCCATCCTTCCATTCCTCTCTGACATCTGATCTCCATCTAGAAGTAAAGCTTCCCCACGGGTTGCAACTTGGGAAAGTGCTTATCTTTTATTTGGGCCACTTAGTTTTGTTTCCATCACTACCTGCCTCTTTGGAAAAAAGATGAAAAAAGTGGTTTAACCTTTTTATTTGTTATGGTCAGCACAGTTGTGTGGTTGTTGTTTTTGTTTTTTTTTCACAGCTCCCTTAGCAATCCCTGTCCTACCTACACAGGCAGGCTTGCCCTCACCTTGTTGCTGCACAGGTAGAGGAGGGCACGCAGGTGGTGCATCTCCATAGTGCAGCAACTGTGCCTTGGCTCTCTGCTTGACCCAAGAGGTGGAGGCACCTGAGTTACACACCAGATGCAAGATGAGGGGAAAAGAGCCCAAGTGCCCATTTGGAGATAGGAACTTGGTGAAGTGAGATTTTTGGAGGGAGGAAGGTCAGGTTAGGTCAGTGATTTTCTGCCTTGCAGTGTGTGACTCGCCTCTTATGCATTACTGTGGCTTGTACTTTGCACAGCTCATTCACAAGATGGAGTTTTGTGGAGAAATTGCTATGTATGTGACTCATAAGAAGAGCAGTGCTTGCAGCCCGTGTTCCCCACATACCTGGAGGGGAGAAGTGGGAAATGCAGCATCCATATTTCTTCCTCTCACCAACCTCTGGCCTGCCTGCTCAGGTTGCAGTAAATCTCCCATATTTAGGGAATGCCAGGGAAGGATGCATTTGTGAGGCAGTTGTGGTAACAGCGTTCAGATTTCTGTTTTATTGTTGATAAGTGGAGACTACTGGAAGTTGTCTCTTCTGTGGCCTTCTAGAAGCACATTCCCAACAATAAACATTAAGATTACACCATGAGGGAACGCATCCCTGTAGAAAAGGATAATTAGCATGGATAAAACTTCTAAAGGTCAAGACACCCTTTAATAAGGAAGCTTCTCCCTCCCTTAATTCTGCTGTTAATGGGCGTTTTCCTTAGCTACCTCTAACCCAGACATACCTGTTTCCCTTGAATAACCGAGTCAATTAATTATATTATTGTTTATATTCTATCTCTCTAGACACACCCATGAAGGTGAGGTTCACTTGTGTGTGGTTCTATTCTGATGTGTAATGGGAGGCAATTCTTCCTCCAAAAGCTCTGCCACTTAAAAGATAAAAAGACAAATTCCTCAAATAGTTGGGAAAGCGTTTTGAATTGTTCTTTCATGTGGGACAATAAACAATCTCTTAATTTCTCTCTGCCTTTTTTCCTGACAGACACGCCAGCAGTTAGGCCGCTGTCATATTAGCTTCTTGCTTTTCCAACAGCAGCAAAAAAACCAAAAACCTGCCAGGCTGCAGCCTTGCACTCACCATGCCTGCGGTCCCAAGTCACTGCAGTGACTGGCAGTGCATTTTGATTTCTTTTTCTTGCCAGCTGCTTGCTGAGATACTTGAGAACTGGAGGGAGGGAGAAGCAGATAAATGCTGAATAGGTTTAGAAAGCTGAACAGTGATAAACTGCTGAGGGCCAAGGCAGAGGGATTGTTTTAGGTGTTGGAGAGGTGGGTCAGGGGTTTGCATCTGCCCTGAAAAGCTTCTGTTGTTACGTGTCACCAACATGGTCACGTTCCTGTACTTCAGGACACCAGTTCTTGAATTCCTCTTCTCCTCCTGTCCATCCAGAGAGAACAAAGGCTTGCTTTTGTACGCAGTGTGAACTTGCTGTGGGGCCTGGTTACAGCACACAGAGCTGTGTTACAGCACACAACCCTTTCCAATAGTCAGCTCTGCACTTCCACAAGTCCTGCACTGCCGAACCACATCCTGTCCATGCATTCAGGAGAAGAATAAGGTGGTCTGGCTCACTTGCCATCCAGGATGGGTCACAGGCTTCGCACGTGAAGTTGCTGCTGGTGACTTTTTGCCACTGAGCTCGGCAGGCAGCTAATAGGGTTTCTCTATGGAAAACAGTAGTGAGGACTGTGTGCGAGACCGAATCACCCTTTGTGTTGGTAGGTTCATTCATTCCACCTGCACAGTGCTGCCTCTTGTTGCTGCTGAGGCTGGCTGCCTCAGAGCTCTGTCCTTCAGCCTGAATAAGGTAGAAAGTGCTTTATGCCCTATGGGAGAGATGACCAGTATAAAGATAATGCTAAGTTAAATTGTATGCTTGAAAGCGTTACCAAATAGCCCAAAATAATCATGATCTGTTTCAGATTTTTTAAGCATCTGTCTACTAGTTGCTGCTATCAAAATTCCCTAATGGTGCTATGTTGATTCTTTTATTTTTTTCATATTCATGGTCAAACCTCTCTAGAAATCAGAAATAATGGAGCGAAGCAGGCCTGCTGATGGTCTGTTTATTTTGCAGATGTGGGAAGAATATCCTGATGTTTATGGGGTTAGGAGGTCAAACCGAAGCAGACAAGAACCGTCACGATTTAATATAAAAGATGAGGTAAGGAAAAAAAAAAAAAGAATGAGGGATTACTGAACATATAAAAACAACTAAACTCAGAGAACAAAGGCTGCTCTCATCTGCGTTGCCTTGTGAACACCGAGTCCTAGCCTGGTTTGTGGATGGTGGAGTTCAGAACTGAGGTCCTGGTGCTGCACTTGAGTCTACGTGGCCCAAAAGCTCCGATCTCAGAGGCCTGCTGCATGGGCTGAGGTCTCTGCACACTCATCTGGCCACTAGAGCGAGGCGTAGCATGGGTCTGCCCTGCTGTAGAAACCTGCTGGAGAGGAGCGGGTGCATGCTTAAAAAGGAAAACACAAAACCACAATGAAAATCCAAGCAGGAATAAAAGAAAGTGCCCAGAAACACCTCACAACGATCAAACAGATGTTGTTGCCCATCCTGGAATGGATCGTGCTCATAAATGCATTTGTGTGTGTGTTCAGCGTTATGAACCATCACTTCAGTTGAATGTCAGGAGTATTTTGTGCTTTAATTGAAGATGGCAGGCGAAACTTGCTGTTGTTCCTATCTCAGGACTTGCTTTTTCCTTGAAGATGCAGCCTCCGTTTCCATCTATCAGACCTTGTGCACGTCTGCAGATCTTCAGGAAGGTTAAGTAGTTAGAGAGGAGAAAAAAAACCAGGCTTAGACTGAAATTGCAGGGTGGGATACTTCAATGTGAAAGCAGTTGGGAATCTGCAGAGAAGTAGCCAGATTTTGGGCAGGACAGGAGCCTGGTGGTGCTCTCAGCAGGCCAGGCTGTTTGTGCTGTGATGCCAAAATACACCGGTGGATGCCTGAGAGCTGCAAGCATAACACAGGTCTCTGCCACCTCCTGCGCTGGATGTCCCTGCAGCAGCAGTTAGGAAGGCCCTGTGGCACGTCATTGACTTGGGTTTTGTTTTCCTTTTCAAGTTCAGGAAAGCCCAGGCTCCCCGGCTGCCTCTCTGTGATGCCCCAGCGTGCACTATGTGCTGTGCTGGCACTGTCACACCTGCCACAGACCTCGCCTGCAGCCCCAGTGCCCTGTAGGGGTTCAGGTAAGTCCTGTCATTTTTTGTTTTACAATATTACGTGGTTTTGCAAATGTTGTTTTCTTTTTCAATATCTTTATTTCCTTCTATTTGAGGTACGATAAAGTTAAAAAAAAAAAAATAATTCTGAGATGTACAAACTTTGCTATACCACAGAATATTGTAAAAAACAAAAACAAAATCATCTGAATGAGCCCTTCATTTATGGAAATTAATGAAATCGGACCAGTCCATTCCTCCTTCTCCTCCTGAAGCAGCACTGCCTGCTTCCCATAGAGCAACTCCAGTGGCGGGTGTGACGCGTCAGGCACAGTGCTGGGGCCTCGCAGAGATGGGACGTGGCAAGTCTTGCTGTTGGAAAACCCAAAGCAGCAAGGGGAGGGCACAGCAGAGCTGATCCTGCATGGTGCTGAGCGCTGCTGGAGCTGGCAACGAAACAGGGCACTTGACATCACCTAAGATTGCTTCTTGCCTTTCAGGGCTAAGCCTGTCACCAGTAACCTGCTCTTGTTGTTTGCTGCTTGGGACTTCCAGCACGATGTCTAGGAGCTTTGAGTTGCTTTCTTCCCTAACTCTTGTATGCAGTACTAGCAAGCAGCGCTGCCTGTGCAGCGGGCCAGACTCGGTGCCAGGCTGCAGCAGTTCCAGCCTTCTGACTGCCCCTGGTCAGGGTGGTAGAGTTGTTTCAGGTTTTGGAAGCTGCAATCTGCCGAAACCACCAGTTTGGGCAGAGCTCCTTCCCTTAAGTGCCTGAAACACTTCTGGGAAGTGCCCTGAGGGCATCGGGCACCTCATGGAACTCTCTGAAATGGAAGCAGAGAGACTGGCAACTTCTGGTTGGGGCAGAAGTGTGGGCTGTGAAGGGCAGGAAGCAGAAGTGCTGTTTTGCATAAGGTGAAGGAGCTGCCCAGGGCACTGAAGCTGGCTCCAGGAATGAGAGTACATGTGAGCTTACAGTACAAACGGTCATTGCTTGTGCATTTTGGGTGCAGCTTATAAATCACCTTCAGGTTTCATGAAGGGGAACTGAAACATGCAGAACAGGGCAGTCAGGAAACAGCGTGCCCAAAACAGGCGCAATCCATAGGCTATAAAGAGGATGGTTTGTAATTTGCATTAGTAATAAATGTCACAGTGCATCTGTTCTGTGAAAGAGGCCACAAGTTGTGTGCCACAGCTGTTCCCAAAATATGTTTGGTTTCACCACTGTAAAAAATACATATTTCTGCTCATCTGCATTTTGATTAATGCTCTTTCTCACATCTTTGCTGAAAGTTCAGATTTTAAACATCAGAGACACAAGAAGACTAAGCTGGCAAGCTGACAGTCTCCAGCTTCTCCAGGCTTGGCCTTTGCTAAGCCTGAAATGAGCAAATCCCTGAGCTCTGTCTGAGATTTTGGGCCTTCCCTTCTCCTAGCAGGCAGCATGAGCTCCGGAGCACTGCCTGGACCATGCCAAGGGGCTGAAGCCCCCTCTGTGGGCTGGTGAGGGGACAACCTTGGGCAGTCTGTAGGACCAGAATTGCAAAGCTGCTGCTGCTTTGCTCTGCTTAGTGCGATGTTTGTGGTGTCATGTCTTGCATAGCATTCCTCCTTGGTAAGCTGCAGCAGAGTTAATCTAGAAAAGTGTGTGCACTGTAAGTGCTGGAAGAGAAGAAAGAATGGTGAATATCCCATCTCTGGAGCAATTCAGGGTCAGGATGGATGGGGCTCTGAGCACCCTGATCTGGCTACAGAGGTGTTGCCTTTAGAGGTCCCTTCCAGCTCAAATGATTGTATGAAATTATATGGGAGGATTGGGTGAGGCATGGAAAGGGAGGACTGACCCTTCATCTGAGGTGGGCAGTGCAAACACTAAGAGGCAGGTCCCTAGTCCAATGGGAAGAGGGGCTTAGGAATTGATTGGGCACGTTGGCAGCATTCAGTAGAAGGGGATTAAGGAAGGCAATTTGGGCAGCACTGGTGTGCAGGCTCAGAGAGAGAAACACACACCTGGCATCTCTTGCTGGACTGATAAAATCCTGGTGGGGACTGAAGGCTGAATTTGTCACTTGTGCCCATGCCACCTGGGGAGGTGACGTTATTAAAACATGAGTTTAATGCAGTTTTCCCTTCCTGCTGAAGGTGGCTGGTGGGCAGCCTTGGACCAATTGGAGCAAGTTGGTGCTAAGTTCTACAGCTGGGTCAAGAAATCTGAGAGATTGCTATAGTGTGGTCTTTAAAAAATTGTTTTAATTGTTTTGTAATTACTACATGTAGAACAGAATTAAGCAGCTTTCAGCCATGGCAGGACCTGGGCAGCCTGGTGCTAGGATGGGAGGAAGAGTGGGTGACAAGTGATGCTGGGGTGGATGAGGGCACTGGGGAACAGAGGCTGAGTCATTGGGTGCGTGGGGTGGCTGTAGCAGCAACAGGCAGTGGTGACTCAGGCTGGGACTGGCTGTGTCAGAGCTGAAAGATCTGGGCTTGCTGCCCGAAATAGGCAACGGCGCTTTGAGCAATGCAGCTGGAGGCAGCTGAGCTTGGAGTCACAAGTTAGATTTGTTTCAAGGCAGAAAGAAAAGAGGAAAAGGTGAGTTGTTGAGCAACAGCTATGTAGAAACTGCAGCGGCAGGAGAAGAGCAGAGGAGTTGGGGAGTGGACAGCAGGATCTTGAAAAGTAGGACTTTGTCAAGTGGAATGAAGTTCAGAAAACAATAAAGGATATATTTGGTTTTCTACAAACTTCACCAAGTTAGACTTGGCAGCTCTAGGTTAATGGTTGGACTTAGAGATCTTTTCCAACCTAAATGATTCTGTGATTCAAATCTTCTCTGATGCAGAGCAGAAGGAAAACTCACCGCTCTCTGCTCATGGTTTGCCTAAAGACAACAAAAAGTAACTGCTCACTGAGAGATGGCTGTTGAAAAATATCCCACCCACACAGCTGGAGTCAGCTGTGCTGCAGTCACTGCTGTCAGGCAGTCCCTTGTTTCTTGGATGCTTGGTGTGTGAGACGGGGATGTCAGGCAGTGGAACAGGCATTGAGCACGTTCACACTGAGCTGCAGGGCAGGGGTGTCACTGTGCCACACATCAGTCTGGCATGAAACCCCTGAGAGATTCATCAGCGCCCTTGGTCTGACACAGCATCCAATACTCCATTTTGAGCAAAAAGGAAGTTTCTGATGGGGAAAAGGAAGATGGAAATAAAGGCTGCAGAGATATGGGGCATGTCTTTGTACCCTGCCTCGACTTCTGATCTTGCAGCTCATGCCATTTCATGTCGTTCTCTGAACAGCTCTTGGCGTGAGCCTTGCTGAATGTGGTGGATGTACAGGAGGCACAGACAAAGACAGGCTTCATCTGCAGGGCCTCTATGACACAGCTTGGATGTCGCAGCAAAAAACAGCATTGAAGAGAGGGTTTCAGATGAGCAAGATGCATACAGCAAGCAGTCCTGAGGCTTCTCAGAGCATTTAAATCCTCTTTAAAAATCTTCTGCTTTCTTCTGCAGTTTGCTCCCTGCTGATTTGTGCTTTCTGTAGCAAGTGTCTAAGGCGAAGTCATCTGTTTGTTTCGGGGTGCTGCGTGTGCAGGGATCTGTTTCTGTGGTGGACTGGCTTTTAAAAAAATAGGGTTGTGCCCATCAAAGCTTTTCTAGCTTTCTCAGCCAATGGGAGTTGATGACACCCACGTTTAAAATAGTTCAGCAAGGACATAGCATCTCTCTCGATATATTTAGCTAGAGAGTCTGCTAGTGGAGGCTGGTATGCTTGCAGGAAGGAAAGCAGCAGGGCAGGGTCTGACCCATCTGCTTCCTCAGCTGCTTTGGCTGTGGGAGAAAAATTCAGGAAAGCAGGGAACACCCTTGTGATAAGAATGTTGTCCTTTTAGGAGAATTTCCTTCTGTATAGAAAGCTTCTGTAATGAGAGTAGAGCTGGTCACGCATTTGTGTGATTGTGAAAGGTAGGTCTGCAGTCACAGAAACGCAGTCTGATCCATCCCTGACCATTACTGGGTTCATACTGACGTGGCAAGTATGGATGCTCTGCATTCTGCCACTGCACTTTTCAGTTACAGCCTTGTAAAAGAGCTCAGCTGCTGCAGGAGCTGTGTGGGGCAGTGGGCAGCACTCCTGCAGCCTCATGGCTCCCCAGAGCATCCTTCTGGCTGCAGGGAGAGCGGTGCAGCTGTGCCTCAGCTCACCCCACCCTACCTGCATGTGTCCAGCTGTGTCCTTGGGGAGACGATCCGGGTGAAGCCTACAACCTCATTTTTCTTTCTTTTCAATTAAAGGCAAGTAGCGAATCTGAAAATGAGAGCCCAAAAAGAAGAGGCCAGAAGCAAGTGAAAAGAAAGTAAGTTTCTAGGGAAAAGAGTTTCGAATAGTGGAATTATTATTTATTCCTTGGTTTTCAGAGTAATACTATTTGTTTGACAGGCATGGTCAACATGAAAGGCTTGTAAAATGAATTATTTACTATTTTCAGTAATAAAACTCTGGCTGATAGAAATTCAAGTATGAATGTAAACCTAGGATGGATGAAATTTTCCAACATTTTCACTGTTTTTTTTTTCCCATTTTGCCTGTCCAGGAAATCTAAAGAAGCCAGCTTCACTTTTTGTTGTCAGTCTCTCACTTCTTCATGATGTTATTTATTCTTCAGTGACACTTAAAATAGTCTAACCTTCACTCCTTTCCCATCCTTAGGAAATGGAGAATAAAATGCCAATTTTTTTTTAATTTCCCATAACCCTCTGATAAGTTAAAACATCCCATTAACACATTTTGTGGATCTCATCACAGTGGCGAGATGCACTTATTTTTACTGCCTTTTCCATCCAATCAATACCTTTCAGTTTTCCTAAGCACTGAAGTGTGCTGATCAGGCCTACTGAGCTGCCTGCTGGAGAAAACTCGAGCACAGCAGAGTGCTATGTGATCCAGCTCCCTCTCTCCTCTTTCTTGCTTTTAATTTCTCATTCTGTTGTGTACAGCAGTGCAGCACAACAGGGGAGGTAATAGAAACCAGGGAGGGCGGCAGCAACAAGGGAAGGACTCCCAATGTACCCCTAGGAGAGAGGGGGCATTGCAGAGCTGAGGTCTTGCTCTGAACTACCCACGTGGAACCTGCTTCCTTCCACGAACACACAGTGGGATTTGGCTTCAACCCTGGAAGCTTTAATTGCCTGAAGTTCAATGGCATGCGACTCAGTGCTCTGGGTTTTGAGCAGCAAGGAGAAAGTGTATCAGTGCGTGTCGTAAACCGTAAGCGGAAGCGAGCGCTTCTCAGAAATGTCTGATTATTCAAAATCACCCCGAAGATTTTTTTTTTTTTTTTTCCCACCTCATTTCAGAAATGCGTAAGTGGGAAGGAAAGCTGAAGAACTTGAAGCACGCCCGGCCGTGCGGGGTGCAGCCCTGCCACAGCACGTGGTAGGAGCCACTCGTGCTGCTCTGCTAAGCCAAATCCAGGTGACAGACCTGTTCCTAGAGGAGAGAATTACAGCCTAAAATCCCCAACACATCACAGTCAACAACTTGTTAGCGAGAGCGCAGTGGTGATCTGTCGTGATCATGGCCTGCTAGGATCAACCCAGTTGGGTTGGGTGCCTACTTGGTCAGGTATTTGCGTTGAAATATGGTGGCCCTTGATCAGCTACTTTTCTGACCATAGAAAAAAGTGGAAAAGAGAGATTTCTGGTGAAGAAGAGGATGAAGATGGAGGGGATCAAGGCACCAGTGCAGAGAGCGAACCTGAACCGAAGAGAATTAAAGCAAAAAGACCTGTCCAAAGGAGGTATGGAGTGGTTGGTTCAGTCTGTATCTTTTTCTGTGTGTCTTTCCTACCTTTATGAGGGTGGAGAGGCAGCTGCCATTTGCTCCTAAAGCATATTTGTTTTCTTCAGCATTACCTTTGATTACAAGCCTGTGGACCTGGTTGCTTTGTCCAGTGAGTGGAGTAGTGATTTCTGTGGTAGTTACAGCAGGCTAAATGTCTGGGAGTCTGATATCTGAGATGTGTTTGTTCTTAAAGACTTCAAAAAAAAAAATTATGTTGAAGTAAAACACTTTCTCCTAATACTTATTTTAGAACAATGGCCAAAACCAATGTTAAAAAACCTCCCAAACTCCAGCGTGGGAAGAAGAGAAAGAGACAGGTGTCATCTGAAGATGACGACGATGATGAAGATGGTGAAACTCCTAAGAGACAAACTCGACGAAGAGCAGCCAAAAATGTCAGGTATCAAAAAGTGTGGTGGCTTGCTTAAGCAGTGCATGTGCTGAACAAGCACTGAGCCCCAGGGTAAATACTGGAGGTCTTGCTGTGCTGTCTGTAATAAGCCATTCTTGTGTTTCTGGGCAGAGTCAAGGGCTTTTTATCAGTTTGGTTTTGGTCTTGTTCAGTTACAAGGAAGACGACGATTTTGAGACGGATTCTGATGACCTGATAGAGATGACTGGGGAAGGGGCTGATGAACACGAAGACAACAGTGAAACTATTGAAAAAGTCTTGGACATCAGGCTTGGAAAAAAAGGAGGTGGGTTGGCTATTTCTGAATTCAGTCACGCACTCTCTGTTTCTCTTCAACTGCTCCAACATGTTTGCAATTTTGAAGCCTTCCAGTGAGGCCCAGGGTTATTTCAGTGCTCTTCACCCTTTCCTGCCTGCCTCTTATTTCTTCCTTCTGGAAGGTTTTTTTATTTGTTTTTGTTTTCAAACGATCTATTATTGAAAAACCTAAAATGTCAAGTTTATCTGCTTGGCAGCTGTCTTTTAGTGTGTACACTATTTTGAAGATGCAGTCATTGCTCTGCAATTCTTGTTTTTCTCCCCTTTAAAAGATAAAATAGCTCTTCCAGTAGCGACAGTTTTTGTAGCTCCATTGACAAAGCCATAATGGGAAATAAAGCTAAGGCTTTGTTCTCACAGCCATACAAAAGTGTTTTTGTAAAACTGAATGGTCTTGAATATTTTCAAGAGACCTTTGAATTATATTAAAGAAAAAAAAGGCATTTATGATAGAGATTTAAAAAGATCCTGTTGTGTGGAGAACTTTTGTGTGCCTGTCTCATCGGGTTCAAGAATCTGTAGGACGTTCTTTGTGCTGTCACAAAGGATGTGTTAGAAAAACGACTTCCTGCTTCAATGCAGTTCGTGGCCAGTGGTTTTTAACAAAGGTACCAACTGCAGCCTGATTTCTTTTGCAGCCACTGGTGCTTCCACCACAGTGTATGCAACTGAAGCTAATGGCAACCCTAGTGCTGACTTTGACCCTGAAAAGGATGAGGGAGAGGTTCATTACCTGATCAAATGGAAAGGCTGGTCGTACATCCACAGCACATGGGAGAGCGAGGAGTCCCTGCAACAGCAGAAAGTGAAGGGCCTGAAAAAACTAGAGAACTTCAAGAAAAAGGAAGAGGAGATCAAGCAATGGTATGCTCTATTTCAACCAGTGATATCTGGCTTTGGGTGAATCTTCTTTAGCCATAGGTATGCACAGGACTGAACACATTCATTTTTTTTCTTGCTAAGCATATTCCAACCAAAGCAAACGTTTTCAGTTCACAACACTTTTCTCTCTCTCTGCCTGCTGTAGAACCATCCCCCTTATAGAAATGATATCTGTGGTACTGAAAGGGAGAAGAGGCAGAGCTTCACAATGCTGCCAGTTCTCAGGCTCAGGAGTTGGGTAGCTGAGAACAACTAAATGGTGCACGAGTGAATCTGGCCCTGGAGGTGATACAGGGGCTCCTAGTTAGCAGTGAAACCTGGCATGCTAAACTAAGCAGCTGTGCTGGGAAATAGGGCTCATCTCAGGACACGCTGCTGAATTTTGCTTTGCAGGCTTTGTCAAGGCAGCCTTGTTAACCCTTGTTAATGATGAGCCTGTTTGTACGTGAGTTTTTGTCTGACCTCCCCAAGGACTATAAAGAGAGCTTCTGTGTGTTTCCAAAGGGATAAAGCTGGAGCAGCAGCTTCCATCCCCTGACTGTTTGATTTTCATTTTTGTGACTAATTCTTGCAGCAGAATAAGGAGTCATTTAGCAGGGAAACAATGAGTATCTGTAACATTTGCTTCCCAGTAAAGCTTTATCATAGGAGATGCTTTAGGAAGCATTAAGAAATGTGTCATATAAGCAGAGGTTTGCTTCAGTGACTTAGTTACACAATCATAAAATAAAGTAGAATTTCTATACATGGCCTCAGTAAGCACTTCAACACTACAAAAGCATTATAATGCCTAATTTGTTTTTCTTTTGGTATCTAGGCTGGCCAAGGTATCGCCTGAAGATGTGGAATATTTCAACTGCCAACAGGAGCTGGCTTCAGAGCTGAACAAACAGTATCAAATCGTGGAGAGAGTAATTGGTAAGTGAATCCAACACTTTTGTAAAGGGATGAAGTAAGGCAGAATGAACTTCCTCTTTCTCTTTGCCCTCCAGTATCCCTGTAGAATGGCATTGAATGTATTTCACTCTCCAGGTGGTTGTTGAAGTTGCTGCTGCTGGTGTAGTTCTTTGACCTCAGTTCTTTGCAGGCAAGGTGTTTGCAGAAGCACAGGCCTGGCTGCTTCCAGGTCTGCTTTCTGTGACGCTGTGGTTAAGGATGTGGTTAGGCTGCAAGGTGGCTCAGGGGTTAGACTTTCATGATTTGTTAAAAATAAAAAATGGGACTTTGCACTAATATTTTAGCAACGTCAGTCAGAGATGCTGGCATCCAGTTGCTTTGGGAATTGGCCTAGAGAGCTGTACAACCTATTTCCATACGATTCTTATCAAAGCACATGATGCTCTGTTTGTGCTGCTCCCCCTGCTGGCTCTCAGCACAGCAAACCCTTGTTTCCTTTGTGTCTCCTACCACAGCTGTGAAGACCAGCAAGTCTGCGACAGGGCATGCTGACTTTCCAGGTAAAGGACCATTTTTGGCCTCTCTAAAGTTTTCCTACTAGCCAAGACTTGTGCTGTGTTTGTAGGGATGAATTAGACTGCCCTTGTGAACCATACTTGTGGTTCAGCCACAGAACTGAGGTTTGGGCTTTTTTGCATATTTTGCAGCAAACAGTCGCAAAACATCCTCGAATGACCCCGAATACCTGTGCAAGTGGATGGGACTGCCCTATGCAGAGTGCAGCTGGGAAGATGAAGCTCTGATAAGCAAGAAATTTCAGCACTGCATTGACAGCTTCAACAACCGTAACAACTCCAAAACAATTCCTACCCGGGACTGCAAGGTTTGCTTGCTTCTCCTCTCTCTTCTTGCTTTGTTTCTCCAGGCTGGGTAATGAAGCAAACCGTGTGAATATGAAGTTTTGTTAGAATAAACGTCAGAGAGTATTTTCCAATCTTTCCTCCAGCATTTGAATGGTTGTTTGCTGTTCTTGTACTTTAGGCAGAGATGTGAACCCCTTTTGGTTTCATTTACTCGAGGTATGGTGAGCATGGGGGATTGGGAATTAATTAATTAATCCTTGCAAAGTGCTTCTTCCTGAAGAGATGCTGCTCTTGCAATGCAGATTTTTAATATCACTTGAACGGAAAAACAGCACACCAGGGAGAAGAGGAAGTCTGCAAGATGCTGATACAGTGTGGGAGAGAGATGGAGTACATGGAAGAAAAACCAGAAGGGGCCAAAACAGAAAATGGAGTTTGCTCCATCTAATAGGCATTATATACAACTTATTGCACTCTTGTGGGGACTCAGCCCTGATCATCAGGACTGGAGGTCAGCAGGCAAAACATAACGGTGCTGAGGGGCATCAGAACTGTAGATACCAGAAGCAGATAAGAAAATGTGGCTGGACAGTAACTGACAAGCCAATCTACACTCATTGCTGATTCTGCAGATTTAACTGCTGAATTTTCAACCTTACCTTGTCTTTTTCTTCAGGGGGCTTACGGTGTATTGTTTTCCTCAGGTACTGAAGCAGAGACCAAGATTTGTTGCCTTGAAGAAGCAGCCTTCTTATATTGGCAGTGAGAACCTGGAGCTGCGAGATTATCAGCTGGAGGGCCTCAACTGGCTTGCTCACTCGTGGTGCAAGTAAGTACATACACCAAGTGGTGCAAATGAGCTATGTTCATTGTGGGTCTCCTAAGCTTTGTCCCAATGGGATCTGACTCTCTTGTTCTCAAGTGAGGTTTTTACCCGGCCTTGAAATGATACAGACACATTAAATCAGGACTTAGGTTTGTTCTCTTCCTTCTCAGGAACAACAGTGTGATCCTGGCTGATGAAATGGGCCTGGGGAAGACGATTCAGACAATCTCATTCCTGTCGTACCTCTTCCACCAGCACCAGCTGTACGGTCCTTTCCTGGTGGTGGTTCCTCTGTCGACTCTCACCTCGTGGCAGAGAGAGTTTGAAGTGTGGGCACCTGAGATCAACGTGGTGGTTTACATCGGTGACCTCATGAGCAGGAACATGGTGTGTAATCTGACAGCAAAGCCTGTGGGGTTGGATGGGAGCACTGGGTGCTGTCCTGTGCAGCGTGTAATGTGTGTGACGTGCTATCTGCTGGAGCAGCTGATGGGGGCTGCTGAGTGTCCTCTGAAATATTTAGACAGGGCAACAAAAACGTGTTGTGAGCCCGGTGGCGTCAGTGAGATGATGGGGTAATGTCACAACAGCAAGTTGCTTGACTTAATTTTGTTGCTTGTCTAAACTTGTGTAAAAACCATGTGTGCCCTAAAACAAGCTGCTCCTTGGACGGCCCTTTGCTCATCGAATGGTACACTGAACAATAGAGCTTGGACTTGATTGGAGATCCTAGCTGTAGCTACAGTAAAATGACTGTTAACTCTTCGATAATATTCCTTGCTGGTAACATCTGTCGTTTCTCGCAGATACGTGAATATGAGTGGATCCACTCTCAATCTAAAAGGTTGAAATTCAATGCACTTATCACCACATATGAGATTCTCCTCAAAGACAAGGTGGGTAAAGCTCCAGGGCTGTTCTATTTAGATCCTCTCTTGCAAATGGGGAAGCCAGCCACTGACTAGTGGGTTTCACCTCTTTTTCTTCTGTGGTGATGGAGAACACTTCTTTTCCTCCAGGCTGTTTTGGGAAGTATTAGCTGGGCCTTTCTAGGCGTGGATGAAGCCCATCGTTTGAAAAATGATGACTCTTTGCTGTACAAAACATTGATTGACTTCAAGTCCAACCACAGGCTGCTGATCACTGGCACTCCGCTTCAAAATTCACTCAAAGAGCTCTGGTCCCTGCTGCATTTCATCATGCCTGAGAAGTAAGTCTCCTGTTGGTGCTTCATAAAATACCTCTGTATCTTTGTCTTGGCCACTGAATAAACTTGAAGGAGAGCAGAATGGCAGAAATCCCTGAATTGAGCTCAGTGGAGTTAGACCAGCTTAAGGGGAGCAAACACTGGTGAGGAAAAGCAGAGTTTAAATGACTAACACAAGGAGGATTTCTGGCAGCAAGTTCAATGAAGAAACTTAAAACACGTCTTTCAAATCTGTCTGCTGTTTTCAGTGCCATCTCTAAAAAGCTGAACTTGTTTTAAGCAATCATCTCAGCCATTTCTGAATTTCCCAGCACATGGTGTTTCAGCTGTTCTCACTAAATGTTTTATGGCAGTCCCTGGGAGTATTTCTCAAAGACAGCACTGCCTAGCTGATTGTTAGCTTGTCCACATTATAACAGATGTTTTCTTACAAACAAAACAGGTAATGTGCATTGCCAAGACAGGCATGTCCCCAAACTCATCCAGATGATGTTTGACTACAGAAGGAGCTGTTCCCCTAATTCTTTGTTGGATCACAGAAGAAGCGAAGGAAAGATCTGAGGTCTCCCAGGTGGAGAAGGACAGATATCCACATTTCAGAGGAGTTAGAGAAATCAGCAGTCCAAAAAAGTAATCTGAGCAGTGTAAAACAAAATCCAGTTGACAGAACCCTGCCTAAGGATGGGCTCTGTGGGAAGTTCAGAAACTGCTGCTAGGTAAATCCTAGCAGGTGACATCAGAGTAAATACTGGGGAAACCTGGGATTTTGGGTCCTGGAAGGTTGATGTGGAACTGTGAAGCTCAAAAATAAAATACTTGGAGGTACTTACACCCGGAGAGCTGCTAGCTTTGCCACCAATCTGCTCAATTAGCCAGAGAAAAGTGAACTTTCTATCCTTCACTGTACGTACATCAACTCGATGGTCTCCCATCTCATTGTGTAGTGTTAGCATATTTGATACACGCTGCTTGGTACCACAAGACAAGATATTCTAACTCCTTTCTATTACTCATCTCTGTCGCTAGGTTTGAGTTCTGGGAGGATTTTGAAGAAGATCATGGGAAAGGTAGAGAGAATGGCTACCAGAGCCTTCACAAAGTCCTGGAGCCGTTTCTCTTACGCAGAGTGAAGAAGGATGTGGAGAAATCTTTGCCAGCCAAAGTGGAGCAGATCCTCCGTGTGGAAATGTCTGCTTTGCAGAAGCAGTATTACAAGTGAGTCATTTATTAAGTTACTGGGAGTACCAGCAGAAGTGGGCGCATCTTTCTTTGTGACTTGGGAATATGCACAGTATATATAGGACAGAGCATGCTGTGTCCTTCAGAAGGCACCAATGTGGCAGCCAACACCTGTGGCAGGAAGTGGGAATGCAAGGTAGGGTTGGGTGGTATCTCCCCCTCCAGCTCTGGACTACTGGATATGCTTTTCTAGCATCATAGTAATTCAGCTGGCCAGCTTTATAGGGCAGGGACTGTATCTTGGCAGAGTAAAGCTCAGCACGGAATTGTGTTAGGGAAGAGTGTAGACAGATGCTTGAATTAAAGTGTCCCTGAAGGTTTTGTATCTCGGGCTCCAGCAGGCCTGCTTTGCGCTGTGAAATGATCCGATCTGTTTATTTTCCTGTCTGCAGGTGGATTTTGACAAGAAACTACAAGGCTCTTTCAAAGGGAACAAGAGGAAGCACATCTGGTTTCCTAAACATCGTGATGGAGTTGAAGAAGTGCTGCAACCACTGCTACCTTATCAAGCCTCCTGAGGAAAATGAGAGAGAGAATGGCATTGAGACCCTGCAGGTGGGCAGAGACATTGCTTAGCTTCATTTTTCCTTTGTTTTCTACTTCCTGCCGTTCTCCCTCCAACATAAGATCTGGTGAAGCTTTTGCTTCTGACCATGGGAATCTGTCATCACAACTGAGCCACTGAATTTCCCGCCCTTTTCATACACTGACAGCAGAACATTTTGGCCATTTTGAGCAGGAGGTGAATGCAGTGTGAGAACTATCTTGGGTGATTTATTGTGTCTGTGCCTTCTGCTGTCTAAGCACAGATGATTTGATTAGAGAGGTACAGGAGAAGTATGGCCCCAGAACAAAAAAACCAGTTCTCTAGTGTACGTAGGAGTATGGTTGGAAAGCACCAGCTGGAATGACGGTTACTTTTTCAGTCTCTGATCAGGAGCAGTGGAAAGCTAATTCTTTTGGACAAGCTGCTGACCAGGCTGCGGGACAGAGGCAACAGAGTCCTGATCTTCTCCCAGATGGTGAGGATGCTGGACATCTTGGCAGAGTACCTGACTATCAAACACTATCCTTTCCAGGTGAGGAATAGCATGTGGGCTTCACCTGAAAGTTCAAGAAAATAGGGAGGGAGCTTGAGCAGTGAGAGGCACTTGGCTTCTAAGGCTGTCCCTTGCGTCCCTAAGGGTGGATGGATTACAGATTGCTCTTACTGAAATGCACTGAATGGAACTGGAAAGTCCTTTAGTTTCAGTGTGGCACTCAAGGAAGGGAACGTATGGAGAGGCAGAAGCCAGCTGAGAGTGTGGGATGCCTCACTGTGTCTGATGCTTCTTGGGCACAGCACATCTCTCTTTGTAGATGTTTTGCTGTCTGTAAGTGAGGATAATGGTATGTCCTTTGAGAGCTGCAGATGGAGGCTGCTCTTACAACAGTCTCGGTAGTGATGTACGAAGTGAGAATCAAAAAGATTGGCATAAACCTGCACAATGGATTCAAACATTTATTGGTGGGTGTTAATCACTAAACAACCATCTTGTGGTTCTGACCTTGCCTGACAGAAACACTCGTGTCCATGATCTATCTCTGTAGCTGAGATCAACTGATGTGCTTATGTCAAAAGCCCTCGGATGCAGATCTCCCTGCATGTACCAGCATACTGTTTTGTACAGACAGCTCAACACTGAAGCTTGCTTCCCTTGCTGGCTCTCTGAAGCTATTTAGAGATGCTGTTATCTGCATTTCTTTTATCTGAGGTGGCTATTGCATCCTGTGCAGCTTGTTTCCATCCAATTGATGCTGACTCACAGTGACATGCCATCTTTCTTGCTGTTTCTCTGGACTTCTGTCACTGCTTGAAGGTTGCTGCGTGGGGCATGTTTCCAGCATACAATCTCAGTAAATAAAGCCCCATCCTCTGCTGGGTTCCTTCTCTGGCCTTCATCCTGTAATAAGCCCTGAGGAGAGGATAGAGAATGCAGAGATCCTGGCTGGGGGCCTGTAACAGGAGCTGGAGCGTCACTGCTGTGTGACTGCTGCCTGAGCATACCACCTCCTGCCCTCGCAACACAGTGTAGCTATTTTTAATTGGTGGCTATTTTTAATGATTAAACACTACAGGCTGGGGCTATCAGGCTCCCAGAACTTGACTGCAACAGCTCTACGGGGCTCTTTTCCTTCTTTATTTTTAATTGTTATTGCTGGTTTTTTTCTTCCAGCGCTTAGACGGCTCAATCAAAGGGGAGATCCGAAAGCAGGCGCTGGACCACTTCAACGCCGACGGCTCTGAGGTATGGCAGATGGGTCCTCCCTGCCTCCAGAGGGGTCTGGTGGGTGGCAGGAGGGAATTAGCTCAGTTCATTCCTTCTTACAGAACACCTGGCCCTTTTTAATGCAGACAACACATTTTGCAGTCATCCATATCGCTTGTTTCAAATCTCCCACATCCAAAGAAAGGGGCTGCAAGGCAGATTTCCAGATAGTGCCAAAGAGGCTGGGAAGAGCCAGAATCTAGCAATTCTCTCTTTATGGTCTGAAGTATGAGCCACTTGCTAAATAAATCCTCCAGTCTGCAGTTGTTTGTGGATATGAAATGGCAGAGGCAGAAGGGAGATTTTAAGACTAGGTAGGCAGTGAAGTCTGGCATTGGAGGTGAAAGTCTCTGCTGTAATAGGAGAGGGCGTGCTGAGCCTCTTGTCTAGGCTTGCTGACTCACAGTGACTGGTGCAAGGCACTCGTATGCCATCCCCCATCCATGGGAAATGTCTGTCCTCACACCAGGAGCCTGCGCTCTTGTTTGGCACAGGAGATGAAGAGGGTGCTGTGTGATGGTGGGGAATGTAATAAATAAAAGTGAGAAGACAGAAGTGCGGGTGGGAGAGAAGGGTGGAGGACTGTCCATGGAAGCTGCTCTTTCTCCTCTCCTGGGGGTTCTCAGATAATCCTGATTCTGTCTTGGCACCCTGTACCTTTGGGCAGCGACTCAAACATCCCATGTTTGGAACTGATCTCACCCCCAACAGACTGCAGACAACAAAAGCACGTGTCTGTCTGCTGCCTTCGTGGGGATCTGATGTGCAGTGTGATCTGACCTTCAGAAGTGACTCCAAGGTGCCCTCACTTGACCTTCCTCACTTTGTGCCTTGGCTTTCAGCCTTTTCCTTCTCTTTGAATGAAGTACGAACGCACCAGAGCCTCCCTCGATGTCCTTGTGTGACTTCGTAGTCACCGTTTCTATCTTATATCCATGGTGATAGGCTGGCTAACTTAGTTGTTGCTGCTTTTTCCCCCAGGATTTCTGTTTCTTACTGTCAACACGAGCTGGAGGGCTGGGAATTAATTTGGCCTCTGCTGATACTGTTGTTATCTTTGATTCGGACTGGAATCCCCAGAATGACCTTCAGGCTCAGGCTCGGGCTCACCGCATCGGACAAAAGAAGCAGGTCAGAAGAGTTGCCTCGAGTCATTTTCTCTGTGGCTTCAGTGTGTGCATTTAAGAGAGCACCTACATCACTAGAACTTGTGAAAGCATGGTCTTTTTGCCCCAGGTCCTGGTTGTAGAGCAACGTTATCCCAAGGGAAACTCACTTAAAGGTCAGGAAACGAAAAGTCAGCCCAACACTGCTAGATGTTTCTGTTGATGTTTAGTCCTGGCATGGTTCTGAATGAAGAACCCCATCAGTGGCACCACATTTCTTAGCCTCATATAGTCCTGCTTTTTCTTGCCCTATAAAAATTGCTAGATAGAATATCCATTTTTTCCTAGAGTTTTATTTCAGATGTGGAAAGTTTGATGTTCATTAGGATTTAGTGGGATTTTTTTCAGTAGATTTGTACTTTGCCTTTTGTACACTACAAGATATGTGTTAAGCATCCTGATTTAAAGTGGTCCCCCTGAGACAAAAGAATGTGCTTGTCTTTATTCTAAAGAGGCAAATCTGTGCATGAAAGTAGCATGTCAGCAGACGAGTCTCCTCTGAAACTCAGGGATGCATCACTGTGTCAGCACAGTGTGTTCAGGTCCTGGAAAATAGCTCTGTTCTTCTCTTGCCCTTCAGGTGAATATTTACCGCCTGGTCACAAAGGGTACAGTTGAGGAGGAGATCATTGAAAGGGCCAAGAAGAAAATGGTGCTGGATCATTTGGTGATCCAGCGTATGGACACCACTGGACGGACTGTTCTGGACAACAACTCTGGGCGATCCAAGTAGGTGGTTGTGTCAGGAGGCAGACACATCTGATAGAGCACGTGGCATAACCAGCTTCACCTTCTGATATCTACTGATTTGATTGGGTATGGGGCAGAAGAGAGCTTTCACTAATAAGTAGTGGGAGTTTCCACTGTTTTGCCTCACACAATCATTAATTTGGACATCGAAGATAAAGATGATCAGAAATTGAAATGCATTGCCTGTGTTTCTTTACCTCTTCCCACCAGAGACCATCCTGGTCTGAGAGAAGCTCGTGGTGGCAGCATGGAACAGAGTTTTGTCAACGACCTCAGACTCTCCCCATTTCCTCTCCATAGATGGGGCTTGTACCCCTTACAGTAGCTCTCCAAGTCAGAGCAGGAAAGAGATGAGCGCTGAGGAGAAATCTTGCTCCTCATTTTAAATGGGAAAAACTTTAGAATGGCTTTGTGCTGTGACACAGCTGACTTAACAGCCCTAAACCCTTCTTCATTCTCTTTCTGTTTGCAGTTCAAATCCTTTCAACAAAGAAGAGCTGACAGCTATTCTGAAGTTTGGAGCTGAAGATCTCTTTAAGGAGCTTGAAGGAGAAGAGTCAGAGCCTCAGGTAGTTTGAAATAGAAATAACATCGCTGTCGGTAGTCCTCTGCAGGTCTGCACTGGGGATGTATTTATGTCTGCTCACTCTTTGTATTTTCTCTGTGCACAAGAGCAAGTTGATGAATAGCGTGCATGGGAGTCCTAGGAAGCTGAAGGAGGAGAGCTCTGGTGCTGGGATCAGGGTCTGTTGTTGGGGGTTAAATAACAGTGGTCACCAGGAGAGTCCCAGGGCTCCCTAGGATTCCTGAGTTAGTTATAGCACAGCTTGAGGAAAGCTTCACTCCGTGTCTCCTCTGAGCACCTCCAGCTTCTTTCTTTTAGGGTTGTTCTCATGGAGACTCTAGAGCCAGCACAATGAAGTCAAATAGGTCACTCCCTCCTTTCTCATCACAGCAGTGCTAGGGAGTTTATTATTGAGTGCTTTGACCAATTCTCTTCATGTCTCAAGTAGCAGAGCTACCCCTGAGGGAAAGAGTTTATACATCTCACTGCTGGAAAATTTTCCCTGCTGCTCAGCCTTGATGTTCTTTTTCTTCTATCACTGTTTTTATATGCTTTTGTACCACTTGAGATAGTTCATCCCTGCCCCTCACTGATGACACCCTGCAGGTGTTAGAGCTTCATTTAGGACATATCAGCACAATCAGTATTTAGCTATTGCACCCTGTAACTCTATTCTCAAAGCCTTCTGTTCCTCCCTTCTCTTTGACACGCTTTCCTTTCTGACTGCTAGGAGATGGACATTGATGAAATTCTGCGCTTGGCTGAAACACGAGAGAATGAAGTGTCCACCAGTGCCACTGATGAGCTGCTGTCACAGTTCAAGGTAGACACCATTGTAGTGGGGTGCAGGAGCATGGCTCCCCATGTCTTCCCATAACGGTGGGGTCAGGAACAGACAGAACAAATCAGGCCCAGTGAGAGGTGCTCTGTACAAAGCAGCTTTCTGAGGGGCTGCCTGGACTTAGTAGCTGGGCAGATGTGTAGGTATTCATTTCCTTTTATGTGGTCTTGAAGGCTGTGAATAAAATGCTGAATTTACCAAATTTGGAAACAAAAACGATAACTTAGGCTCAGCAGTACTTTTTAAACTGCACGTACTTTCTCGAGAGTTGTTAGCCCAAAGACGTGGCAAAGAACCAGGAATGTAGTGACATAAGGATCAGTTATACAGTAATTATGGAAACGTTGGCAAAACTCCTCTGGAGAAGAAGTTGAAGCTTAGCAGACAGCTCTGGGGTATTCCTGCCAGGGGAGGGAATTTCTGAAAGCGTTTCTTTGCTTATAAAAGGTGGCTAACTTTGCAACCATGGAGGAGGAAGAGACAGAGCTGGACGAGAGGCCCCAGAAGGACTGGGACGATATCATTCCCGAGGAGCAGAGGAAAAAAGTGGAGGAGGAAGAAAGGCAGAAAGAACTGGAGGAAATCTACATGCTGCCTCGCATCCGGAGCTCAACGAAAAAGGTACAGCATATCTCCAAGAGCTGAGGGGCTGGAGGCCAAAGCTGGCAAAGGCAGTGCTTACGGGGAAGCTTTCCTGTGCTTCTGCCCCTTCTCCAAAGCTGGTTAGGGGTGACCCATAGAGTCACATTGGCCTCTTGTTGGCATCAAGCATTAGACCCATGGTTCGTCATGCAGTGTAGGAGCTCACACTGGATTTGGTACAACTCATGCTGGGCTAGACACAGAAAACCTGTAGTGAGCACAGGGCAAAATAACTACACTCAACCACTGCAGACCCTACTGAAGTTTGTGGTTTTCAGTACGTTTCTTTCTCTCAGGTTCTGTAGCTGTTCTTACCTAAATGTTTCTCTTGAGAGCAAAGAGATACCATCTTCCTAAGTTTGTTTTTAGGTGATGTGATCTCCCCGAATCCAATAGGAAGCAGTCTGTGAAACCGCTGAGATACAGGACTTGGAGAGGTTGTGAGCTCTTCTTGGGGATAAGATGAGGAAAAGGTTTAAAGTGAATGCTAAAGAAGGATAATTTGTATTTGTGTGATTGCAGTAAGGCAATTGCACCTCACTTTACGGGTGTCTTGGTTTTCAAAATACTCCAGATACCAAGGAGCCTAGGGTACTATAGCACAGAACTGTGGAAAATTAAGGTCTTACACCTTAGTAAATCAAAATGCAGTTGAGAAACTAGGCTGTAAAGGAAGGATGACCATGGGAGTCTTAGCTAGCCAGAAATGGCAAGCGTGCACAAACTTACTGGTGTGACTACATGGTCTGCATCTTCAGGGATTGGTGCTGAGTTGATTCAACATAAAATAGTGCCAGCGCACGGCAGGTATGGAAAAAATTGGCAGATTAGCAGTTAAACAGCCCTGCTATCCTTCTGCTGCATACAGGCTCAAACAAATGATAGTGAATCAGATGCAGAGACTAAGAGAAGGCTTCAGAGATCATCGGGGTCAGAAAGTGAGACTGATGATACCGATGATGAGAAGAGACCAAAGCGCCGTGGACGTCCTCGGAGCGTTCGAAAGGATACTGTGGAAGGATTTACTGATGCTGAAATCCGGAGGTCAGTGCTGAGCAACAGGGATGGTTCAGTAAACAACTATAGAAACCCCACACAGGTGTTGAAACTGCCTAGGTAATCTAAGAGAAGTTCAGCTGTAAGCATATCAGTAATTTATATGAGGCTAGTTCTTTGGAACAGCTTCCGCGCTGTTGTCCAGTTCTGTTTGCTGCTGGCTGATGACTTTAATATTCACATCTGAGCAAAATGGGCTGGAACGTCTTCATTTAGGCTGCAGTCAAGCTGGTACCTTCCTAGAATCCATCCCTGAGGCAGCTGTCCAACCCAATCTGTGTGGATTCTGTGTTACATGTGAGACTTAAGTGCCATGAGATAGCGCTGGAGAAGCCAAGGACTCTGGCCGTCCTGACATTGTTCTGGCAGTAGTCCTGATGAGTTAAGCCTGAGTGAAAGGCAGGCTCTGCCTGGCAGAATGAACCCCCTGAGAAGCAGTGGTCCAGTCAGTCAGAGCAATAGTGTATCCTCTCCTGCACTGCGTCCCAGGAGTCAGCTGGGGGCTGAATTCCAAAGTATTATTTTCTTCTCATATTTTCCTCTCCTTCTCAAGCCTTTCCCTCGGGCCCTTTCTCTTATGGCTGTGCCCAGAGGTTTAGCCAAAAACAGAAAAGGGTTTGTGAGTTTTCGTTGCTTCTGTCTCCAATAAATGTATTTTTAAAAGGCAGATATTAAACCTTTTTGCATTGTGGCAGATGCCCTATATGCAGCCCTGAAACCATTGAAGAGGAAAGAGGTGTTGCAACGTGACCTATAACAGCTGTTTTAGTTAAACTGCTGTAGCTGAAAGAGGAAAAGATGGAAAAAAAGAAGGGAAAAAGTAGCTCATTTAAAAATAATCTGTTAGTTGAAGCCATTGAGTCTACTTCCAGCACACAGCACTGTTCAGTCGCAGCAACAGTGCCTGACTCTTGCCTTGAAGGTGCCGTTAACAATGGCAGTGATTTTCACAATAAAAAGTAAGAAGTAAACATAAATAGCAATTCTTGTCTGCAAGGCTGTGTGATGGATTGCACCACGTTTGGCTGTTCTGCAAGAGGTTGTTACACTTACAGCCTGAGCTTTAAAATTACTAATGACATTGATTTAGTGCCTCTTGAATCCTTGGAAATTGAAGTTAATAATTACCCATACGGTGAGAGCTAATGCTTTCTTCTATTTTTTTTTTTTTACACTACAGTTGTCTCTCCTCGTTCTTGTCATCTGTCAAACATCTGACATTCATAACAACATTCTGTTCTTCTCCAGCTGAGGTCACAGAACTCTTTGTGGGGGTTAATGGATTAAGCTCCCCAGTCCTGAGTGATGCTTAGCTAATCAGTGTGGAATGCGAGCTTGATAATACGACAGGCTGTAATTAATATATCCAAACATATTTGTGATATTGGACACATGTTTTATGGCAGTTGTTTTAGTTCCCTTTTTTTTTTTTTTTTTGTTCTTAGGTTTATCAAGGCTTACAAGAAGTTTGGACTGCCTCTTGAGCGGTGAGTCTCAACCTGGCCTTTCTCCAAAGGGTTATCATGGGGGAAATGTTGTGTTTCTGAGCTCTGCCATACACATAAGTGTTTGTCAGCCTCACCTGACAGCACAGAGACCAGCGAGTTTGCTGTCATGTGCTCCAGTAACCCAAAAGCTGCCATATGGTCTTTCATGTCTCAGTTGGTGGGCAGTGATGAATGCTGCCCAAAGAGCAGCTGGAGCACTAGTGCTGCTGGCAGAATCTGGCCCTCGGGGCATTTCCATCCTGCCTTGAAAGAAGCAGGAGCAGCTGTCTGAACAGCAAATGTAACCTCAAACACTTGTCAAGTTTCTCCATACATGTTACAAGGGCTGCTGCAAAAGGAATTCTCCTATTTGATGATGTTGGCCACTGATGTCAGAGGCAGGTCTTGGTGGTAGGGCAGTAGAGGTTGAACTTTCCTATAAACTGGGAGATTATGATGAGGGAACTGCATACAGAGCTGAGTACTGGCTTCGTTGCAGTTGAAATGATGGAGGTAATGCTGGAATATCACAGAGTTTGTGCAGAGTGGGTACTGGAATGCTCACACAGAAAGGACACTGTATGCAAGTTTGCCAGGACCTACTGGATCAATACAAGGCTGAAGGTGACAGTTTACTGGATCACATTGTTACTGGTGTCACCACTGTGGGCTGGAGTTAAAACAGCAGCCACGGTGTTTTGACATGGAAATTCTCCATCCAATAAAAATTTCAAGACAAGGCCTCAGTGGATAAAGGGATGTGCAGTGTCTTTTGGGAGAGGAAAGGCGTGATCCTTCTGGATTTCCTGGAGCCCAGACAAACCATCAACTCTGACTGCTCCTTTGCAGTGCTGACAAAGCTGAAGGCTCAAAATTCCTGAGTCAGGCCAGAGAAGAAGACAGGGATAACACCAGGCCCTGTGCCAGTTTGGTGGTATTGGAGCACGTTGCCAATCTTGGCTAGACTGTCCTACCACACCCACTGTATAGTCTGGATTTGGCACCTTCTGACTTCCATCTGTACAGGCTGATGAAAGATGGACTGCATGGCAATGTTCTCCTAGCAATTACAGCTGTGAAACTTTGTGCACCTCCACTGGTGCAGATTTTTACAAGCATGACATGCAAGCTCTTTTTCTTTGCTGGCAAAAATGCATAGCTAATGGTTGTGACAGTGCTGAAGAACAGTGTTTTGTAGCTGAGGATTTGCAATGTCAAATGGTGTTGCTGTGCTCTTTATATCTGTTGTTTCCATGGAAATAAATAGGAGGCATTACTTTCAGAGCAACCTGCGTAAATTCCAGATTGAATGTGGAGCATCTTTCTCCCTCTTGAAGGGATGTGGGGAAAGACATTGCCCCCAACTCTGGGTCTGCACAGCCCAGTGTTGTGCCCCAGCATGAATAAAAGGAGACGTGTGCATGTGGTGGGTCTGCTAAGCTGGCATCCTGACTGAGGTCTTGGAGCCAGAGCAGGAATCCTTGCGTGTGTTGTCTGAGAAATGACTTTTTTTTCAGCTGGTTGTACTCTTTGGTTGTGAAATGCAAGGTTTGTATGGGCCTCGATGTTGTGAAATTCAGCCAGGCAAAAGAGACAGCAGATGGCAGCTTTTGACCACCAAATGGAGCTAAGGCAGCACTGAGGAGGGGGGCATAAAAGCACACTGGACAGTCAGTGTGCTGGTTGTGCCACAGATAGACAGTTCTCACCTTTGCTTTAACACTAAAGAAGATGAAGGACTGGCTCTGTTACACTACATCTACACTGTGTTGCAGTTTCAGAACTGAAAAAAGGACTAAAACCTGTGCCAGTCCCACTCATGAAGGTTTCACACCTTCCTACACACACAGCATTCATTGACAATCAAATTGCTCAGGGAGCGACTGGGATAAGAAATGCTACATAAAATATAAAACTTGCAATCTGTTTTTCCCCTTCCCCAGGCTGGAGTGCATTGCCCGGGATGCTGAGCTGGTGGATAAGTCTGTGGCTGATCTGAAGCGTTTAGGGGAACTCATCCACAACAGCTGTGTGTCAGCAATGCAGGAATATGAGGAGCAGCTGAAAGAAAACCCAGGTGAAAGTAAGTGAGAGCATTGCTGCAGTTAGAGTGTTTTTGGTGATAAGATGATGAGAAGCCATTCCCTTGCTGCTGAACGGGGTGGCCATCCCACATTGCAGCTTCTTAAATCATCCCATCTCCACCAGGCAGCTGTTGCCAACGGAGATACACAGGGATTTGGAGATGCAGGGCTGGATTTCCCACAAGGTCTCTGCTGCTTCTGATGTGTAAAACTTCTGAAGCAACGCTCCAGCATACTTAGATGTATTTTTAAGGTGAGGGATGCTTCAGTTGCAGATCTAAGTGCATTGATAATGATAACTTATACTGGAAACCTACGTTAGCAGATTTTGTTTAAAGAAACTGTGAGTAAGGTGTTGATCTCTGTGTCTGTCTAGGCATTGTTTTTTTCCACACAAAAACATCCATTCCTAGTTGCTGTGTTTTGTTACTAAGCAGGGAAAGGACCTGGGAAAAGAAGAGGTCCTACCATCAAGATCTCTGGTGTCCAAGTGAATGTGAAATCCATCATCCAGCATGAAGAGGAGTTTGAAATGCTGCATAAATCCATCCCTGCAGACCCAGAGGAAAGGAAGAAGTGAGTGTGAAGGGCTAAATGGGCAACACAGAAAGAGGCTCGGGGAATTTGGATTTTGTAGTGGAAAGATACTAGCCTAGATATGTGGATTTGCTTTAGCCCTGCAGCATTAAGAGCAGCTCATGTTTGCAATGCCTTCAGGTACCGCCTGACGTGCCGTGTCAAAGCTGCCCATTTTGATGTAGACTGGGGAGTGGAGGAAGATTCTCGCTTGTTAGTGGGAATTTACGAGCATGGTTATGGAAACTGGGAACTAATTAAAACAGATCCGGAATTGAAGTTATCTGATAAGGTAGGTGGTTTTGCATGTTGCTTATATTGGGTCCATTACAGTCTTCGTAGAGAGCACATTTGATTTGGTCCAGAAACAGATGTTTGTTTGTAGCCAGTCCAAAAATCATAATAAATAATAACAAGGAAAACGGCAACCTCTGTGGAATGCTGCATGCTTGATGGAAAGCAGAGTTGTCTGATTTGATTGGCAGTAAATCTTCTTTGAACAGTCCCATATGCGCCACACTGAAATGATGCAGGAAGAAAATAGTAATGCTGACATATGTGGTTCCATGCACAGTATAGAGGGTGCTTTGCATAATTGTGACTTGATATTTCCTCGAGTGTCTCACGAGGAGCTGAGTTTGAATTTCTGTTTGGAAGCTGTTTTTCACAGATTTTACACTGCTTATGTCAGGAGTGGTCTGTGTTGGCTTCGAGGGTGTAGTTCCATGAGTGGCTGCAACAGCAAAGCCAGCTGGAAAGCCTCTGTCTAGTTCCTCTGTTCCTCAGTCATTCCCACAAGAGCTCTTTTTAAGGGCCACGTTGAAATGAACCTGGTTACAACTAAGCAGCCGTCCCTTGTGTCAGCACTGTGGAAGGAGTGTGCACTGCAGCACTGGACTGAGGAACACTGGGACACTTGGCTGCCAATATGCTTCATTACCACGGCATCCCCTCTAGTGCTTTTAGCAAAGATCAGACTGTGGTCGAGATCCTTCCTATGTGAAGTTTCAGAAAAGGAATTTTACAGTTTCCTGAGACACACCATCCAGTAGTAACCTTAGCTGGTAAGTTGAAATACGTCCTCCACAAAGCAGTGCCTTGCAGCCTTGTTTTCCAATAAAAGTTGCTTTACCAATGTCTGAGGCCCTCAGAGTGGACAAGGCTGCTCTGACAAGGTTGTCACAACAGAGTCTAGTGAATCAAAGTGAGTGGACTCAGTACTGCAATGCAAGTACTTGCATTTTGCAGGGCTTTTTTTTTTTTTCTTTGCACATCGAAGATTGTAGAGAATCGAGAGAGCTGCCTTGGAATCCTTTTTCCTGCAAAATGCCCCAGCTCTTGCTTGGTGCTTTGCTTATGGATAGACAGGGGGAGTCTGTGTGAAGTTCTGTGTGAGGTTGGTGGAAATGCTTGAGCTTTGTCATTCCCCCTAGAAGGGCGCAGCATCTCCAGCCATTTGCTGCACCTGAAAGGAGTTGTGCCAGTGTGTAGTTCTTTTGCCAAGGTTTGATATGTACATGTAAATGTAGATATTTTTTCTTCTTTATCAAAGATCCTACCTGTTGAGACAGATAAGAAACCTCAGGGAAAACAGCTCCAGACCCGAGTGGATTATCTACTGAAACTGCTGAAGAAGGATCTGGAGAAGAAAGAAAACATGAAAGATGGGGAAGAGGTGAGACACAGCTGCTTGGCTCAGGGCTTTTCAGGATGAGGGGTTGGTTGCTAGTAGGAGTCAAGCTTGTGTGACTAGGTCACTGAGTTTGTCCTACATGAAAGAATATTGGCTTGTCTGCTGTCTGATTGCTTTGCGATGCTGAAGTGATAATTGGTGGGGGACAAGTAATTAGTTACTGCACTTACCAAAGGACAGCAGTATGGCACTCTAATTCCTAATGCTCTAATGCTAGATTTTCAACTTTTGTCACTTAGGAAAAAAAAACCAAAACTCTGCAAGTTGAGTGCACACCACTGAGGGAGAGCAGGATGCCTCATGCCCTGTTTAGTAAGCTATTTCTGAGAGGTGATGGAATAAACAAGTCTGTGTGCTGAAAACTCCCTCAATTCTCAGCAAGGGGCACTTCAGGCTATTCAAACAGAACGTAAATTGTCCTAGGAAAAAAAAAAAACAACATATATTTTTTTTGCTTTCCTTTTTTCCCACATGGAAGTTGCATCGTGATATGCTCTGGTAAATATGCACAGAATACCTGGTGTCAGTGGGAGTTGGGTAGTGTTCATCCTTGCTACCTCACTGTCACTGGTCCATATACACCAGTCTATAGATGTTTGAGATATTCCCTTGGCCTCTTAAATTTCACAAGCAATTCCTCTTTCTGGCTGATATTTGTTTGTCTAATTTTGTATGTGGTCCGCCAAGCTTTCCTGTGGTTTCCCAGGCATCCTGGCACCCTGCAGGACCTGCAGCTGTTCAGGAGATGGGCTATGCCTCTAGGAAGCAGCTGAAGGTATTTGCTTGCTCTGACTTGTTCTGTCTTCTCTCCAGGGCAAGCTAAAGAAGAGGAAACCACGAATAAAGAAAGAGAACAAGGCTCCCAAAGTCAAAGATGAGCATGGGAACGAACTCTCCCCTCCTCGGCACTCAGACAACCAGTCAGAAGAAGGTGAAGTCAAGGTGAGTCAGCTTGGATAGCAGGTTTCCTTGGGCTGTACTGTTACTACGGAAACTCAAGTTGAGAAGCACCCCTGGCAAATGTCCTGTGGAGTCAAGAGGAGCTGTAGAGTGCATTCCCACAAGAGACTAGCAAGCTGACAAAAAAAATAGCACAGGTGTTGAGGTGGAAGAAGTACCTTTTACCACCTGCTTTTTTAGATCAGTACTTGTGGTGCTTTGGGGAGGATGCTAGAAGGGCCACACATCCACGTGCTGACCTGCAGGAAAGGTGGTCTCAGGACAAAATCTGTTGCCCTTATAAAGAAGAGAAAGAAGAATTGTTTCCTTCTCCTTTTCAGTATATCAGTCAGTGGTGAAGCTGGAGTTTACCAAGGTCACACTGTTGCTTAGAAAACCTTCTGTCATTGAGTGGTTTGGCTTGTAGTCTAAGGCTTTTTGTTCATGTTCTGATCAGTATCTGCCTTATGGACTGAGTGTTCTCCAGCACAACTGGCATAGGAAAGTGGTGCTTATCTGAAGTCTGCCAGGGGCTCGTATAATTTTTATGCCTTCTTGTTCAAGGTTGTTTGGGTGGATTGTAGCACCGATCTTGCTGTCGGGTTGAAGAGGTGTGAGGGCAAATCTGGATGGATCTCAACAAATGCTTGCTTTTCAAAGATGCATGTTTTATGGAAGAATGTGTATGTGAGGTGAAGGACTCCAGCTTTGACTGTGCCGTGACTGATTTTCTAGGATGATGGCTTGGACAAGAGCCCAGTGAAAAAGAAACAGAAGAAGAAAGAGAACAAAGAGAACAAGGAAAAACAGACAAGCACTAAGAAAGAAAAGGAAAGTGATAAAGAGAAAAAGAAGACAAAAGAAAAGAAAGAGAAGGTATGCAATACTCTCGTGAGCAGTTTAAGAGACAGGGAAGCCTGAGCAGAGGGGTAGGCTGTGAGTCCTATTAAAGGCCCAGAGTGAAAAGTCATTAATAAAATACTGGGGTGAGACCTTATCCATTTTGCAGCCCTGCTGAGCTCCTTAGTGTGTAGAATTGCACTAAGGAGTGGAAAAGGCAACATATCCTAAGCCTTGTGAAAAAGGAGCAAAAAGGAAGAAAAGATTTTGTTGGGCTGTGTGTAAAGTATAGCTGTCCTGTGACAGCAGCGTGGCTTAATAGCTGGTGTTAAGGAAGAAAGGGTGCAGAGCACGGAGCACTCAGTTCAAAGTTATGTTCAGCTGTGATTTATCACAGGATTGGCAGCTACTTGTCTGCATTCCTCTCTAATTTAAATTCGCCCCAAATAACCTGGCAGACCGTTCTGCCAGGACTGGATTAACCTTGTGACTGTTCAGGACCCATCAGAATGAGTGTTTCAACACCAATGGTATGTCATAGGCTAAAATGTCCCTTGAATTTTGGGTACGACTGCCTTTAGGCTGAATTCAGATTGGAAGAGAAGTAAAAGGTTCTGGAATGATTACCTGATGTGCCTGCCCAGTGGGCAGGTGTGTGCTGTGTGCTCACTGTGTTTTGACACCGAGGTCACAAGTACAAACCAGAGAGCTTCATTGTGTATGCAGGAGACAGTTTGCTTTCCAGTGATGCTTCGTGTGGTTCTGACTACAGATAAACTATATAAGTAAAAAATTGCACCTAATTTAAATCTGAGTTTGCTTTCCAGAACAGCTTGAGGACTAGTGATGCTGTGTGAAGTTGCAAGTCTTCATAGGTGTGAGACTAGTCTAGGCTGTTTGCAAGGGGCATATATTCTTTAGCTTCATCTCTCCAATGCTGTTTTTTCTCTTTGTGAGTATAACCATAATATTCAGGTCCAAAACATTGGCTCTTAGTTCCCTCTGCTCCCTCAGGGATGACATAAAGCTAAACAGAGGCCTTACAGCAGAACAGTTTGAAATCTTGGGAGGAAAGTTGTAGGAGCTGTGCCCAGGGTTTAACGACTGCCAGTAACAATAGTGTGCAGGCTGTTACTTGGATCACTTGGGGTCCTGCAGACTGGTTCATCACGTGATGTAATTTGTCCTTGTAAAGCCTAAAGGTGGTGAAGCCAAATCTGGAAGTAAAGGGAAGAGATCGCAAGGTCCCGTCCACATTACAGCGGGGAGTGAACCAGTCCCTATTGGAGAGGATGAGGATGATGATCTGGACCAAGAAACATTCAGCATAGTGAGTATTTCTTCAGGAGATGGGATGATAATGGCAGAGCCTCCCAGTAAGCCAGTGTGTGCTTGTACTTTATCCGAGGGTGTGTTTTGGGTGTCAGCACTGATCTGTAAATCCACTTCAGCAAGGAGAGACTCTCCTCATAGAGCCCCACACCAATTTCTTCTAGTTGGCCTGGCAGCGTGACAGAACAACCCTGCCCAAGAGATTGCCCAGCAAGGGTTGTCCTCTGTGCCCACCAGCAGCTGCTGTACATGGCACCTCAACAGGAAGAAATTTCAAAGCTCAGAAAGCTGTCTTCTTCAGCTGATCATATCACAGAATCATAGAATGGCCTGGGTTGAAAAGGACTTCAAAGATCATCCAGTTCCAACTCCCTGCTATGTGTAGGATCACCAACCACCAGACCAGGCTGCCCAGAGCCACATCCAGCCTGGCCTTGAATGCCTCCAGGGATGGGGCATCCACAACCTCCTTGGGCAGCCTGTTCTAATGTGCCACCACGCTCTGAATAACAAGCTTCCTCCTAATAGCTAACCTAAATCTCCCCTCTCTTACTTTATAACCATTCCCCCTTATCCTATCACTATCAACCCATGTAAACAGTTACTCCCCATCATTTTTATGTGCTCCCTTCAAGTACTGGAAGAATAAACTCCCACTGCTCACTTGGCAGCCTGAGTCACAGATGATGCAGCAGCCTGATGTGGCAGTCTTGTCTGCTGTAGGGGCCAGGGAGCCATTGGGGGCTGCTATAGGTGGCAAAATACAGGGGGACTTCGAGAGTGACCTTGTATGGCTGTAGTTGGTATGCAGTTGTTGGAGCTGTGTAAGCACATCCCTAGCTCTGTCAATGCTCTGGCAGCAAACGTGCCTGCAAGGCTTGTAAAAATAGCCTAGCTGTTGTGACAGATGCTTCTTTGTCTGACTTACATAGTGAAATGCTGAAGTATCAGTTTTTAAAAACAGTTCCATACTTTGAAATCTCTCTATTTTCGAATCTGTGTATTCCCTGTAGGCCCTATGTTATCTTTATGGCTTTTTTTTTTCCCCTTTTATTTTCCCTCTGTGGTGCGTGAAAGGTCCAGTCAGGCAGTGGAAACCTGTCTGATGTACTGCCTGTGCAAAGTGCTGATGCCTCCAGTAGGAAAAGGTGATGCTTCCATCTCGTGTCTCCCGGTCTTAATAAAAGCAATAGATTAAAGCAAACACAGGCTGGGATGGACAGGGAGGCCATTGAGAGCACTAATTCAGCTGGGGCTGCTCGTTCAGCATGTCGATGCTCAGTTGCACTTCCCTGCCTGTCCTGGGATCAGCCCGTGTGCCTTTACTGTTTGCAAAGCAAATTGTTCACCTCCAAAAGACTGAGGGGACTGCACAGACGGAGAGACTCATCATTTCCTGATTATTTTCTGCAGCACGTCTAATGAATTGCTGCTTTCAGAGATGGTTTCTCCTTGCCTAACGGTTAGATAAAGCTAATACCTCATGCTAATGAACTTCTTTCAGCTCTGATTAACCAGGGAACAGTGCAGAGCCCTTTGCCAAGTGAATCACTTTCTACTGTTTCTTTCTCAAGTGCAAGGAAAGGATGAGACCAGTGAAAAAAGCACTGAAACAACTTGATAAGCCTGATAAGGGACTGACGGTTCAGGAACAGCTGGAGCACACACGCAACTGCCTCCTAAAAATTGGGGACCGCATCTCTGAGTGCCTTAAAGCCTACACCGACCAGGATCTTATCAAGCTATGGAGAAGGTGAGGGATCATTTTGTTTTCCTTTGCTGATCTGTGATATTTCAAAAGGGCACTTTGGCTGCTGGGTTTTGTGTGGATGAGTGTGCTATTTGCCTCTTACTGAATGTAAGAGAAACCTCATGTTCTGTAGCCCATTCAGACCTTGATCAGCCTCTGGTGAGGGTTTTGTCTCCAAGTTGTGCTGGTTTCATTTAAATTGATTTCAGAGCTAGTTTAGAGAAACCAGTGCAAAACAGTTATTCTACTTCGAAGGGCTTTGTTCCAACTCTCCTGAAACATCCTGTCCTGAGCTGGAATGTGACTGTTTTCCTTAGAGGGCAGAACTGATTTGGTGTTGGTTTGAAAGCAGATGGCAGTTGAACAGCTCACATAGCAATTAACAGAAAAAGTTCATGTCCTTCCAGGAACCTATGGATATTTGTGTCAAAGTTCACAGAATTTGATGCCAGAAAACTGCACAAACTCTACAAGATGGCTCATAAGAAAAGGTCGCAGGAAGAGGAGGTGAGATGTGAAGTGCCTTTCCTCTGGGTGCTTTCTTTACCACTTGTTGCAGTTGCCCACACTTGGGCACAGCTGCTTCACAAGGAGGTGGGTGGCCCACAAAATGGGGGATCTCCAGCCCAGGGCCTGACAAACTGAGACACCGCTCACGTAATCTGAGTTGTGGTCGAAGAGCAGCTGAGCTATAACTCTCTTACCCCTTCCAGGAGCAGAAAAAGAAGGAGGACATGGCCAGCATGCCCAGCGTGAAGAAGCCGTTCCGCCCAGAGCCTTCGGGCTCCAGCCGCGATCCTGCCATGGCCCAGTCTCACGTGCCTCACAATCCTCATTCCCAGAAGCTCCACATGCCCCCTTCCCACGCCCAGCAGCAAATGCACGGGCACCCACGTGAAAGCTACGGCCATCCCCCCAAGAGACACTTCAGCAACACAGGTGAGTGCTGGGAAACCAGAAGCAACCATTCCTCCTAACCTAGTGGCTGTTTGCTCTTGGACACAGACTGTGGCTGCTCAGGTTTGAAGGTGATGGGATGGAACGTACATGAATGCTGTCCTTACTGCTGGACTAGAAAACATGATAACAGTGTGGGGAGAGAGTATAAAAAACAGGAGAGAATGAGATTAGCTAGAATAATGGTGAGGAAATACAAGAAATAAAATGGGATCCGTATAATTCAGGGAAGAAAAAGTGAAAGGAGCAACAGTAAAAGGTTATCAGTTCTTTGAGGATTGAGCAAAGAAGTACTAGGCTTAAAATTAAATGCACTTCTCACTGCTTTCCTCATTGCAGACCGAGGAGAGTGGCAACGAGATCGAAAGTTCAGCTACAGTGGCAACAGCAACCAGATGTGGGGCGGGGAGCGGCATCACCAATACGAGCAGCACTGGTACAAGGACCACCACTATGGGGACCGGCGATCTCGTGGAGAGCCGCACCGCAGCTCTGGGAACTACAGACCAAATAACCTCTCCCGCAAGAGGCCGTACGAACAGTACAGCAGTGACCGAGACCACAGAGGCCACCGGGATTATTACGACAGGTAATTGTAGTTCCTCTCAGGGAGGCTGGCAGGGGTTTGCAGCAGTGCACGCAGCCACCGTGGACAAGCTTCCTTAGAATCGTTAAGGTTGGAAAAGACCTGTAAGAACATCCAGTCCAACCCCATCGCACCGTGCCCACTAAGTCACGTCCCTCAGCGCCATTTTCCTTGGGGAGCTGACCTCCATCCACATTTTCTCTCCGCAGGCACCACCACGACTCCAAGCGCCGACGATCCGACGAGTTCAGGCCTCAGAATTACCACCAGCAGGATTTCCGACGGATGTCTGATCACAGGCCGCCCATGGGGTACCATGGCCAAGGACCTTCGGACCACTACCGGTCCTTCCACACAGACAAACCGGGAGACTACAAACAGCCCCTTCCTCCACCTCACCCTTCCGTATCGGACCCTCGCTCGCCCCCCTCTCAGAAATCTCCTCATGATTCCAAGTCGCCTCTCGATCACAGGTCGCCTCTGGATAGGTCGCTAGAACAGAAAAACAATCCAGACTATAACTGGAACATTAGGAAAACGTAAAGCGACTGAGAAGGGGGGGAAACACATCTGGAAAGACTTGGATGCAACAACCAGAAACTCTGAACATGCTGCTATCATCTTGCTGGGTCAAGGAGGATTTTGGAGGAGCAGGTGGAGGAAGACTCAGTTCTAATTTGGGTTCCCATTTTGTTTCCCCCCCTTTCTCTCATTGAACGTTGGAAACAGACTTGCCTCATTCTTTTTCTTTGGTTTGTTTTCCCCAATCCGACGGACACATGGTGAATTTTCCTCAGCCACAGTGTTTCCTCAAAACTGAGAAGGCGGATCAGTGCTGCTTAGGATTGTGCCAGAAGGCTGTGTGCCTGCTTGGTCTTGATGTTACGTGACAGATGCTGCTTTGGGACTGGGGATAAACTGGTTGGGCTGGGCTTTGTGTGTAACCAGCATTGGTCAATGGATGGTATATTCCAGGAGGGATAAGAGATTCCCTCAGCATCCAAGCTGTTGTTGTCACAAGGGCTTGGTTGAAAGAGGAACTCTGTGTCCCTACAGTGACTCCAAAGGAGTTGGATCCATGCTGGTGACAATCCATCATTTTTTTGGACTCATTATCATTTCTCGTGTCTTTATCCATTTCAAGAAACTGGCTCTGCTCTGTCTGCCATTGTGTCCACTGCCACAGAAGAGCAGAGGGGGATCCAGGGCTGGAATCAGCGAATCTTGACTCTGGGAGACTCTGAGATATGTGAAAAAAGGCAGACTTCTTGTGTAGCAAAGGCTTATTTCACTTCCAACAAGTAGGAAAGAAACTAGGGTGAGAGCAGTATTTCCTCATGGACAGGGCACAGGAATTCGGAACAAGACCCCTCTTCTTTCCTGACATGGGCAGCTTGGATATCCAGGAATTAACACAGGTGCTGGCTGGGAGCTGTGAGTTACCAGGACAAGAGATGGCTCTTGGCATCTGGGGACCCTGAAGCTCTTAATTCTGGGCAAGTCATTTCTCTCTGTGCTTCACAAAATGGTGATCACAAACCTATACTACAACCAACAGATAAGGGGTGGTAGCACAGAGTTGAATGGCAGTGCTGTGAGCTGATCTCTGTCTGGGAATGGTCACACCTGTCACCTTTCTGCCACCGTTCAGCAGTCCAAGTTGGAGATGTGCCTGCGGGCTTAGCACTTAAGTGAGGAGAAAAGAAAAAAAAAAGAGGAATTCAGGACTTGGTACTTAAAAATTCCTGGTGCAGATGTTTTAGAGGCCCAGCGTGGCAGAGGGAGAAGAGGGGTTTGCAAGCCCAGCTCAGCGGGCAGAGCAAACATTCCTCCAAGTGTTGGAGTCATTGCAAATGATACAGAACAGTGTCCAGCCGGCAGTGTGGGGAGCGGTTCTGCACGGGTTGCTGCTCAGAAGCCAGTGTGGTCTTTGTCAGTAGAACTGCATCCCTGCAAAGAACAAGGCTCTCTCAACAGCCAGGCTGCCCAGAGCGTGCTGTCTGCGGATGCTTCGTCTCCCAGAGTTCAGTATTAAAGATCAGGCCGTTCCAGGCTGCTCTTCTTGGTGGGGGGCAGAAGTTGAGGCTCTGTTAAGATGCCAGTATATGACCTTAATAAGCTGTGATGTCCTTTCCCTGATAGTCTGAGGGGTGTTGAGGGCTGGCCTTCCTGCTCCAGGCGCTTTGGAAAGCGCACACAAATCAACACTAACCCCCACGTGTCCACGCCGTGCCCGAGGCGTTGAGGCAACGCGTTGCTGCTGCCTTTCTCACTAAGCTGTGATTGCACTTGCTGTGGTATTCTACAAAGAGGTCCTTTCTTTTCAGAGGTATTAGCTTTTAAAGTAAAATTGGAAGAAACCTCACAGGGGCAAGGAGCAATTGCTCTTTTCACGTTCACACAGTGGTGCTTTCGTGATGGAGAGTTTGTGCCATACAAGTCGTAGCAAGAGGCAATACTGGCCAGACCAGTGTTACGGTTGGTGCAGGGTAACTTCAAACTTCCAACAAGAGGCACTTGTATGCCCGTGCACGAAGGGTTCTGTTCGTCCCAGGTTCCAAGCATGAGGTGGTTTGGGTTTTCTTTCTTGAAACCAGTGCAACAGCAAAAGCTTTGCTGTAGCTGGCAAAGAGTGGTCCCCACTGTCACATCGTTCTGCCACTGAACGTGGTTACCTGGCTACCTGGTTTTGCTCACTCACAGTGGATGGCTCCTCACTGGACTGCACGTTCATGCGGCTGGAAATTTGCAGGGAAAGTCTTCCCCAGGTGTGCGTGCACACATTTTATCCCCTCTAAATAGGGACCAGACGTAGTCGCTTGGTGTGAGTGGCGTTGGAGAGGACAGATCCACAGCCATAAACGTCACTGCGGTGTCTGTGTCAGCACCTGGTGCAGCTCTTCCTTCTGAGCCAGCTGTGGGGTTTCCTCTCTCCTCTTTGCAGGAAAAAGTAGCAATGTGTTGGGTTTGTTTGTTCATTTGTGTGTTTGTTGGTTCGTTCGTTCATTCGTTTGTTCATCCGTTTGTCTTCTGAAGAACGTTTTTCAGCCTGAGCCCTGGGAAATGTTGTGAGTTCAGCCCATGGAGTCCTGCAGAGCAGACAGGCCGTGCGGTGCCCAACCGAGGTGGCTCTCTGAGGTCCCTCACCTGAACAGTTTAAGTGACCCCCACACAAATATTTTTCTGCTTTCACTCATTTCCTCCCCACCTCCACCTCCCTCCAGGGAGAGAAGGACTCTTACTGTAAAAGTCTTTTAAACCTGTTGACTAAAAAAACAGTAATTAATATTAATTTATATTTGTGGGAAAAAAAAAAAATGCCACTGTCCTAGTGATTTCTGATGTAAATATGTTGTTTATATAGTATGTATTAAATTTTCCTACATTGTAAAACTGCTGTACTTTTGATTCTTGTATATTAAAAAGTGTTCCTGAGGTTTTCAGAACTGTGCCAGACTGGATGCAATGCGGTGGGTGCTGAAAACTGGGGGTGTCACAGGATTGTGGGACCCTTCTCTGCATGCCAGGATGGGTGTTTTCACCGTGCAGCAATAAGCATGTCCAAGTTCTTCTCAGCTCTTCTATGTAATTTTGCAGCCTCAGGTGATAGAGGAGGGGTTGATCCAGACTCGGAAACCCCTTTGGATGGGAATTTCCACCTGATCAGGAGAAGCTGTGCCATTTCCTCGCTGGTTTCCATCCAGGATGGTGGTGATGTTTATCCAACCTTCTGCTCTTTGGGATCTCCGTGGGTACACAGTCCTCTTTTTGACCCTTTATTGGGACAATTCCCCTTTCCATGTTCCCTGTTCTTTGGTGGCATTCTCTGCTCCTTCCCCCTCTCCCCAGCTGCGATGCGATGGGCTCTGCTTCACTTTGCTTTTTCCCCTCCACCCGTTCACACCGAGTCCCCAGCGAGGCACAGCGCAGGCACTGAAGCCATTTCTCCCGAGTTATAAGAGCTCATTGTAAAAAGGGCTTTTGCTTTTCACACCTGCAGCCGCGGCGTCCGCACCTTTCCAGCCTCTCTTCTGCTGAACCGAGCCAAGTTTCGACCGGGAGTGAAATTTCATGGCTGAATTACGTGCCCCTGAAAAATGGGTTTCCTAATGGAAAGAATGATGGGCTGTCAGAACGGCCGGGGGCTGGAGGCCCTGCAGCGGGGCCGTGGGAGGCGGGCTGCCGTCCTGCCCTGAGCACAGCGCCGTGCACCCAGCCGAGCCTGCGGGTCTTCGTTCCGCGCTGCCTCGTCTCGTACGCAGGGAGAAGGTGGAGAAGCTCGGGGCGGACGATGCCGCAGGTAAGGATTTGGGCAGGGCGGTGTAACGTCAGGCTGATCCGCTCACAGACCATCCCCAGCCCAAAGGGATGGAAGCCCAAAGCACGTGGACTCGGCCGATGGCCACAACCGCCCTCGGCCGTGTCAGGGCGCAGCGCAGCGCCCTCGGCTCCCCAGCATTTCCCCTGCCCGCCCCGTGCCTGGAGCCGAGCCCCGCCTCGCGTCAGGCCGCGCGTTCGCCGCGTGCCGTGGCACAGCCGGCCCTGCAGGGGGCGCCCGCTTCCCAGCAAAAAGCCGCCCGGGGGGATCGCGGACCTCGTGCTGCCCTGCCGGAGGACAGGAGCTGCGGGGAGCCGGGATGGGGCGAGATCCGCACGGTTGGGCCAATTCCAGCGCAGGGATGAGGTGTGAAAGGCTCCTCGGGTTATGGGTTGAAGCGAGCTGCTTCGGGGAAGGGGCAGAAATGGGGCAGCGAGCGGCGAGCAGCACCATAGAACACACCGGGAATAAAACGAGACCCACTGATTTATTGTCAAAAAAACCCTCAAACTTTACTTGCATTTCTCTCAATAAATAATTTACAGTATGTACAGGTGGTGACACTCCGTGGGTCTGAGCGCAGGGAGGCGGGGACCATCCCGTCACAGCCCTCCCTTCCCTACGCCTTTTTGTTTCCATTGATCGGGTCTTTCTTGGCCACACTTCACCTCTAAGCAGAATTGGGTCGAACACAACCAAAATAAAGTGCTTCACTGTTTGCTTCTAAAATAGGGATACCCCAACCACCTTCTAACAGCCGACCACCAGCTGGGCTGCTCACCCCAACAGCGGGACTGAGCCATGCGGTAATTAAACAGGCTTTCCTTGGCTGGAAATTACCCTTGATGGGTCATTAGGGGAGGTCTTACGGGATGGATGTACTTGTTGGCACGCTGTGGGTTGGTCAGTTAAGACCACATTGCACCACGGCTGTTACCTATGGGGTAGCAGCAAGAGACGGACGTTTCCTCTGAGTGAAAAACTCTCTGCCTTTCAAAATGTGGGTTTTGGGTTTCCAGGAGACAAAAGTCTGGCTATTTAGTATAGCAAAAACGTCCCCATCAGCCTTGCTGAGCAGTCAGCACGTGGGGAAGCCCAGCAGCCCAGCAGTTGGTCTCCTCAGTGCCGTCAAACTGCGATATCCTTATTTTAAAACCTGCCTAAACAGAATTCCTGGGGCACCAGCAAACAAAGCAAGGAGCAAAGTAGTAAACACATCTTTTTTTTTTTTTTTTTTTTTTTCCTTTTTGTTTCTTTTCTTTCCTTAAACGTTTAAAAACCAATTACATCTCTTCATCTGTACAGTCACACGAGATCAATGCCAGGGCTCTATATATTAAAGAGACAATATAAATTACATCCATTGACACAAATTTTTGCATTTCTCTGCTGCTTTACAAATGGAGCTCTAGAGCTGTTAGGACACAATGAAAAGTCACGCTGAGTATTTACACCAGGCTGCCTCTTGGCACCAGTTCTGACTGCCAAAGGTCGCCTATTCCCACCTCTTTTGGTGCTAGCTTGACTCGTCATGCCCAGAGACCTCCCTTGAGCAGGACGTTCCCCCAAGAGTGATGCATGTTTGGGGGATGACTTATGGGAAATTCCCTCTGAGGAAAGGAGGGAAAGTCCACAAAGAGGTCTCCACGGTGCAGACCAAAGGTGGTCTCGTTTTGTTCAGTGAGCAATGAGGTGAACCACAGAGGAATACGGGAAGGAGAAGGGAAGCACTGTGTGGTGGGGGAAGGAGATTACCAATGGTCTCGAGGGAGGGAACAGATATCTGGGGGCAGATGGGGAGGGGGGACCCTCTGCTGCATCCTGTCTCCTGGCTGAATTTCTAACATTGCCCCATTCCAGAGACAAGCCCAGATGGGCTTAAGGTGCAATGGGTCTGCAATGGGGTTGCAAGTCATGACCCTGGGAGAAGGAGTGGAGCAGAGATCTAGCAGCAAACAGAGAGGGATGCTCCTGCTTCAGGACCTGGCTGATCCACCGGCAGGTAAGGGGATGCGGGGCCCGAGGGGGTGCAGATGGGGTCTCCCACTGAGCAGCCTCCCCAGTGCCAGTTTTAGGGGAGCAAACGGCACAAGGAGCTCGTCTGACACTGGGCACAAGTTAAAGAAAATGCTTGAATACTGGCCAGGTTTCTCCTGTTGCAATCAAGAGTCCTCAGCGGGTCTGGGTATAGACAAGAGAGCCAGGAATAAACTGTGGAGTGAATCAGTGAATCAGGTGAAGTGGCTAAAATAGCAGATGCCCTTTGAACCACAGAAAACACAAGCTGTAGCTTGAGGATCACGGCCTCCTTCCACCATGATACCTTTTTTCTTTCTGCGGTCAGCCCCACCATTTTGGCCCCTGCCTGCTGCTCTGCATTGCTTCCTGCAGCGATGGGGCTGCAGAAAGAAGCACACCCCAAAAAGTGGAGCCCAGCCACATCACGCTTGTGGCTCCCTAACACAAAGCCACGTTCACACGCCAACATCACAGTCACCATGAGCATTTTGGGACCGTGGAGCAGCGGTGCAAGGAGGTGGGGGCTCCCCAGCACTCATGCTACAGAGAGGAGGAGGATGAAGGTGAGGGGAAGTGGGGAAGGACCACCTGAGGTACAGTCCAACAGAATCTCCCAAATGTCCTCAGGGCATATAGTGTTCCTCCAGGGCAAGAGCTGGGGCGATGAAAGACTGGGTGCTGGAAAGGAGCTGAGATCTGAGGACGATCCACGTGCTCCCCGTTGGATCCTTTTTCCAATCTCTCCTTGTCCAGTGCAGTCATCTTGTCCCTTGTCCCCTCCTGCTCCCCTTTCCCCACAGCATGAAGGAGCAAAACTCTATAACAAACCCAACCAACACTGACTCAAACTCAGCAGTGCTACCCAGAGGGCAGGGAGGGCCCAGGGATGCTCCGAGGGAGCCGCGTTTCCCGGGGCTAGGGCCCGTGTCCTTTCATAGAGGTGCAGTTTATCTTTGTTGGAGTGAAGCATCTTCACGTCCTCAAAGGCATAGTAAGCAGCCAGCATGAAGTTGACATCCCCCGTAGTCAGGAGATCAAAGACGCAGGACTGGAAGTAGAGGTCCTCTACGGGCAGCTTTTCCCTGCACTTGGCCGTGGCGGATTCGTAAGTGAAGGCCTCAGGGGGGGCCGGCAAGCTGGGCCCCTTCCTGCGAGCACGGCCCTCAGCGGCCTGAGCCAAGCGGAAGGTCTGGAAGTCAATCTGTTGGTTGAGCGGACAACCCCGGAGGCACAGGTAGAGGCCCTGACTGTCCCGGTCCTCCACGGCGTTGACCACCTCCTCCGGCATACGCACGGCGAAGGTGAGGTAGCGGCCCACCTGCCTCACCACGATGGTGGTGCCGATGTACTTGGCCTGGATCTCAATGTGCTGACCTGACACCTTCTCGGTGATCTTCAGGCTGTTGGCTCCGTGTTTGTCGCCGCCGTTCTTGGAGCCGTCAGCAAAGGCGGCAGGGAGCTCGTCCATCTCCGCCTGGTACACTTTCTGCTCCACGCATTCCTGGAAGCTCTTGAAGATGATGGTGAGCTGTGGGAAGAGAAGGATAAAAAGGAACGGGGTTACAAGCTGAGAGACCGCCTGAGAGCACACAGCCACTGCCAGGATCAAGGTGGGAGGTGAAAAAGCTGCTGCTTGACCTAGCTAGGACTATGGCCCCCACTTCAGGGGTGAGCGCTTTCTCTTAAGAAGCTGCCCCAACTTTTAGACATGCAGACAAGATAGTGCTCCAATTTTACACGCTCAAATATGGTCATCCTGCTTCAGCATGGAGGTAAAGGCACCACGCACTGATGCCAAGACCCAGAGCCTGGACTGAATGCGCCACCTGGAGCTGTGCTGTTATCTCCAGGCCCCACGCAGAGCTCCCATGCAGCTGGAGCTGGCTGCAGGATCACCAGGCACAGGCCTGTGGTGGCATGCCCATGCATGCAGCACTGTCTCGCCCCCAGGGCCTGGCTCCAATAGGTGGTAGAGCTTCTCTGGCTCCCATGGTATTCACATCCCACAGTCCCAGCCTCCTCCCTTCCCCGGCTTTGTAGACAAATGGGAGTTTTTCCTTTGGACCCCTGAACGTGTTGTGCTCCATCTCAACCGCATGCATTCAG